TTTGTGTCCAATTCCAAGCGGTTTGGCCTTCCAGAGTGTGAATTCCCAAAAAGAATTGGGAATTTTGCTGATTGTGGCAGCTCCTCCCATCTGATCCCACATCCAGGGCAAAGCTACTCCAGGTTCAAGCAGCTCCATCAGCCTCACCCTGAGCTCTTTTTTTGTGCCTAAACACAGATTTTAAACAATTTTTCCCATTTTTTGCCAGATTTCCTGGCAGATTTCCAAAGGAACGCTCCAGGACAGCGCCTGCAATCCCAAAGCTGTCCCAAAGTGCCCAGTGCTGGCTCCAATGATGTTTTCCAGGCACTGAGAAGTGGTGAAAACAGGGAAAATCAATAGTTACAATCCCAGTGGCTCGGTTCTGCTGATGAGCCGTGTTCTCCCTGCTGAAAAACCGGGGAATTGCGAAGGAAAAGGGAAAAAATTGGGGAAAAAAAGGGAGAAAAAGGAGGAAAAAAAAGGGGGAAAAGGGGAGGGGGTAAGGGAAAAAAAGGAGAAAAAAAAGGGGGGAAAAAGAGGAAAAAAAGGGGTAAAAAAAGGGGAATAAAGGGAAAAGGAGCACAGAACTCCCCTCTGTGCCATCTCCCTTTTAACCTCTTGTGTCCTGAATTCCCTTGGGAAGATCCAACCACGCCCTTCCAGTTTGGAAGGGGATTTTATCTGAATTTAATCACCCTTTAATGGGAGAGAGGCCAAGAATTCCCAAGGCTTCCCAAGGATTTGTTCCACAATCAGCTGGAATTGCCGCTGGAAAGGGCAAATGGAGCAATAATTCCTGGATTTAGAATTATTATTATTATCCCTAACACCCCTTTATCCCTCCATCCTCAGGCTGAGTTAAAGTGATCTTTCAAGTGACATTTAATTAAAGAGATATATAATTTATAGTTTATTTTATAAATCCCACGTGGGAGAAGGCAATGATTTCATCTTTTCCATCCCTCCTGCACTTCCACTCTCCTCATGGGGAGTTTCCCACTTGTTTTTACTGGAGCTTGGAATATTCCAGGCTGGCAGATGGAAGGAATTGGGATTCATTTTCAAAGAAGAAAATCCTAATTAAAAATATCTCCTGGATTTTTTTTTTTTTTAATGAGACAACTCCTGCCATCAGGGCAAGGATCCTGCTGAGGAATCCCATGGGATATTCCTGAAGAAATCCTCAATTTCCCTGATGTTCCTTTCGTGTTTTTTCCCCCCAGAAGATTCCCAGTGGATGCTCCAGCTCCTTCCAGCTCTCCCACTTTTATTCCCCCCAAAAAATGCCCAGGGGATGCTCCAGCTCCTGTCCTGCTGCTTTCTCCATGGAATTTTTTTTCCTGGTGGAGGTTTTGCTGGTCTTTCCCTGGTTTTTCTCCCCAAAATATTCCCAAGTGGCAGCTCCAGCTCCTTCCAGTTTCTCTGCTGGTCTCTCCCTGTTTTTTCCCCCAAAAGATTCCCAGTGGCAGCTCCAGGTCTCCCATTTTCCCTGCTGGTCTCTCCCTCAATCAGCAGCCACTGGAAGATCCGGGAGATTTTTGGGATCTTTCCTTCCAGAGGGGTTGGGAAAGCTTTGGAAATCACCAAATCCCAGTTTTGGAGGAGATTCCAGGGCTGGAACTTGGTGGCAAAAGAAAAGCTTGGGAAATGAGGAATTTTCTCCTGAAGAACGCCCCCAAAAAAGCTGAGCCTGGGTTGGGGATTAAACCCCAAACACTGAGGGAAGCTTTGGGAATTGGAAGAAGGAAGAATACCCCAAATACAGAGGGAAATTTTGGGAATTGGAAGGAAGAATAATCCTGGAATGGTTTGGGTTGGAAGGAACCTTAAGGATGATCCAATTCCACCAAAATTCCATGGCCATGGACAGCTCCCAGCATCCCAGGCTGCTCCAAGCTTGAACACTCCCGGAATGGGGCAGCCCCAGCTCCTCTGGGAAGCTCCAAAAGCATTTGGATCCCCTTCCCTTCCCGTGAATCCATGGAAATCCAGCAGGATCCTTTCTGCTGCCCCAAAATCCCAAGGAACCCCATCCCAAAAAAGCTCAGCTCCCTCCTTGACCCTTGTTTTGGATAAACCGAGCCAAGGAGGGGACAAATCCAAGGATAAATCCAAGGATGAAGCGTCTGAAAAGCCAAATAAAAAGCAAGGGAGCATCAAATCCACACGGGAGCAGCCGCGGGACATCAAAGATCCTCCAGGGCCTTTTTCATCCCAAATTTCCTCGATCCCGACTTAATTCCTGCCAATCACCAGGCACGGAGAGAGAGGAGGCGTTAATTAAAACCTCATTAAGGCAAATTGGGGCTCCTTGAAAAGGAATGCGGGGGTTGGGAAGGGGGAAGGGTCCCGTTCTCCTTTCCCCTGGGATATCGCTGATAAAATCCCGCTGGAAAAGCCAAATCCATTCATCCAAATTCACCCAATCTGCTCGGATTTTCCCCTTTCCTGAAATCGTGATGTGCTGGAAAAGTCGGGAAACTCCATCCTTGCATGAATGGTGTGTGCACATCCTGAAAATCCCGGGATAAAACTTTTGGAATTCACACATACCTCAAAAAAACCCAACCAAAATCCCAAAAAAACGCTCAAAAAAAAAAACTCCACAAAAACCCCACCAAAACCCAAAAAAAACACCCCAAAAAACCCCACAAAAAACCAAACCAAACCAAACAAAACAAAAAAACCCAAAAAACAAAAAACCAAACCAAACCAAAAAACCCACACACACACAAAAAAGAAAAACCACCCAAAAAAACAAAACAAAAAACCCCAAAAGAAAGAAAAGGAAAAAAAAGCACCAGGGGGCTGTAAGAAAAAGCAATGCAAAAATCGAGATTTTTTATTATTTGGAAGTCCAAAATCGAAAATAGCTTTGAAATTCCGCAGGGAACGCTGGGAACACACGGAAAAGCCTCATATACAGAGACAGATAAATTAACTGGGAATTCTGCAGACAAGCCAGGGGCATGGAGAGATTCCATATGTACACTTTTATGGAAACCATTTATACACTTTATTACATTTACAAAAAAAAAGCTGATTTTTTTCTCACTACTTTTTTTGTTCTTTTTTCCCTACGATAATGAAAAAAAAATTACATTTTGTTTTTTTAATTTATTTTTTAGCTGTACAAACTTTTAATTAATAAAAATATATCTCTGTACAAAAGAGGGATTTGAGCTTTTTTTGTAGTTTTTTATCATTTTTCTCATTTTTTCCCTTTTTTTTCTTCATTTTTTTTTCCTTTTTTCTTCATTTTTTCCCTTTTATTTTAGTTTTTTTTCCCTTTTTCCCATATTTTTTTTTTACCATATGCAAGTCCTCTGGGCACAAGGATGGAGAATGGCATGGAGCAGATCTCAGCCAGCTTGCAAAAAAATGGGATAAACCCCTTTTCCCACTTCCTTGGCTCCCTGGGCAAGAGCAGGAAAAGGGAATTCATGGATCCAAAGCAGCAAATTCCATTAAAGTCGAGCTCCCCCTTCTCCCTGCCTGGGTGGTTTTAAATATTTTGGATTTATTTTGCACTCCTGATATGAATTTCTCCTGGATTTTCCATGGAATGAGTGGGAGCCAGGTGTGGGAGGATTCCCTGGGATTTGGACAAGAACCTGGATGGATCCAAGCTCTGCTTCCAGGGATTGTTGGAATTTTGGGGCCTGGAATTGGGATTGGGACGTGGCAGGGCAGGGGTTTGGGTTGGGCTCTGGGGTTTTTAGGGATAATTGAGCTTGGAAAAGATCAGGGATGGGCCAGGAGAGCCCAGTGGAGGCAGGGTGGGATCCAAGGATTCCAAGGGATTATCCCAGCCTGGTTCCAGCCCTGGGAGGATGGAAGGGGGACAAGGGAAGAAAGGAATATTCCTTTGGAGCCCCAATGGGATTGACACCATCCCAATCCATGAAATTTCATCCTGGGATCCTCCCCAAATCCATGTGGGAACATTTCCCTGACCCCTGCCCATGCTGGATCAGGGCTCAGGCTCCAACTCCCACTTCCCAGGGAGAAATCAGAGCACCTTGGTGGGATTTTTAGGAGAAGTGACATTTTTGGGAGGACAGGCGGCATTTTTTGGCAGTCTGGGAATTCTGCTCCCTGTGGGAGAGCCAGGAGTAACAAAAATAAAATACTGATGTATTTACACCCAGAAAATCAAGGATAACAAAAAAATATCCCAGATTATCCCAGGAAGAGCTTCAGGGAGGAGAAGATCCATGCTGGAACTGGAGCATGGATGGAAACCCCCATTCCAAAGGGCTCATCCTGATTTTCCTCAGAGCCTCCTGGACTCAGTGACCTGGGAATGGCACTTCTGCCTCCCCTGATCCTAAAGAAAGTGACTCCAAGCAAACTTTGGATCACAAAGATCCTTTGGAGTTTTTGCTCCCACAAAATCCCGAGAAACCTCAGTGCCCCAGGGAAATAAAGGGAGCAGCTCAGGATGGGAATTAAAACTCCTCTGGCATTGCCCTTTGGAGGATCAGTCTGGAAAGGGCAAAGGATTTGTGCAGCTTTTGGGGGAATTAGTGTGGAGTTCTTTTCAGAGAGGATTTTTGTCCCTTTGGATATTCCTGTCCCTTCAGGAATCGCCTGGCAGTGAATTCCTGATCAGGGATTTGGGCCCAGCTCAGATCAGGGGGAACATGGGGCAGGAAAAACCCAGCTGGGAATGCCCAAAGGAAAATCAAACACAGGGAAGAGGGGAAAAGCTTTTGGGAAGGTCCCATTTGGAAAACTCTTCCTGGGGTAGAAAATCCAATAAAGAAATAACCCAGAGACCCAAATGCAGAAACCCTAAATCCTCATCCTGTCCCATCCAGGTGTTATCCATAAATCCAACCAGGAATGCCCAAAGGAAAATCAAACACAGGGAAGAGGGGAAAAGCTTCCCAAGTTTTGCATTTGAAAACCCTTCCTCTGCTCCAGCCCTGGGGTAAAAATTCCAACCAAGAAATGACCCAGAAACCCCAAATCCTCATCTTGTCCCGTCCAGGTGTTTTCTGTAAATCCAGGAATGCCCAAAGGAAAACCAAACACAGGGAAGAGGGGAAAAGCTTCCCAAGGTTTGGAAAGCTCCCCTTTGAAAACCTTTCCTCTGCTCAAGCCCTGGGGTAGAAAATCCAACCAAAAAAATAACCCAGACACACAAATCCTCATCCTGTCCCATCCAGGTGTTTTCCACAGAATCCAGCACCTTGTGCACAACCTCTTTGTGGCCCAAGCTCTTCCCAAAGTTTGGGAAGCTGGGGAAAGCCTTCCGACCAGCAGGCCTTCCCGAGGTCTGGGAGCGGGGCCGGAGCAGAACCTTTGGCTTGGAGACCCAGCAGGATGGAGGTTGGAGGTGGATCCAGCAGCCCCTCGGGAATTCCGGGGAGGTGCAGCAGCTTCCCCGCGGCCTCGGCGGGGCGGGAGCAGGGAGGTGGGGAGGGGATGGATGGATGGTGAGGTGGGAACGTCATCCACACTGGACACCGGCCACGGGAATCTGGGGGAGCAAGGGGGTTGGTCATGGCACATGGGAATTCTGGGGAAGGGGCTTTGGTGTCCTAAAATTGGAGCATTCCAGATGGAATATTCCCTGCATTCCATGATCCCATGAGAACCCTTCCAACCCCACACATTCCATGATCCCAAACCCTTCCAACTCCCCATATTCCATGATCCCAAGAGAACCTTTCAACTCCCCACACACTCCATGATCCCAAACCCTTCCAGCTCCCCACACATTCCATGATCCCATAAGAACCCTTCCAGTTCCACACACTCCATGATCTCAAACCCTTCCAGCTCCTCACACACTCCATGATCCCATGAAAACCCTTCCAACTCCCCATGTTCCATGATCCCAAACCCTTCCAACTTCCCACATGCCACGATCCCATGAGAACCCTTCCAACTCTCCACACACTCCATGATCTGAAACCCTTCCAATTCCATGTATTCCATGATCCCAAACCCTTCCACCTCCCCACACACTCCATGATCCCAAGAGAACCCTTCCAATTCCCTGTACTCCACAATCCCATGAAAACCCTTCCAACTCCATGCATTCCATGATCCCAAACCCTTCCAACTCCACATTCCATGATCCCAAACCCTTCCAACTCCCCACAATCCATGATCCCATGGAACTCCACACATTCCATAATTCCAAACCAACTCACCACGTTCTACGATCCCATGAGAACCCTTCCAACACCACACACTCCATGATCCCAAACCCTTACAACTCCCCACACACTCCATGATCCCAAGAGAACCCTTCCACCTCTCCACATTCCACAATCCCATGAGAACCCTTCCAACACCACTCACTCCACAATCCCATGGAAACCCTTCCAACTCCACACATTCCATGATCCGATGAGAACCCTTCCAACTCCCCACACGCTCCATGATCCCAAACTCTTCCAACTCCCTGTACTCCATGATCCAACTCCCCACACTTCATGATCCCATGAGAACCCTTCCAAATCCCCACACTCCATGACCCCAAACCCTTCCAACTCCCCACAGATTCCATGACCCCAAACCCTTCCAGCTCCACATAATCCACAATCCCAAGAGAACCCTTCCAACTCCATGCATTCCATGATCCCATGAAGATTCCCACGAGAACCCTTCCAACTCCCCATGTTCCATGATACCAAGAGAACCCTTCCAACTCCCTGCACTCCATGATCCCAAACCCTTCCAGTTCCACACAATCCACGATCCTAAGAGAACCCTTCCAACTCCATGCGTTCCGTGATCCCAAACCCTTCCAGCTCCCCACACATTCCACGATCCCAAGAGAACCCTTCCAACTCCCCGCACTCCATGATCCCAAACCTTTCCAACTCCCTGCATTCCATGATCCCATGAAAACCCTTCCAGTTCCACTCACTCCATGACCCCAAACCCTTCCAACTCCCCACACATTCCATGATCCCATGAGAACCTTCCAACTCCCTGCACTTCATGATCCCATGAGAACCCTTCCAACACCCTACATATTCCATGATCCAAAACCCTTCCAACTCCCCGCACTCCATGATCCCCACACATTCCATGATCCGAAGAGAACCCTTCCAACTCCACACACTCCATGACCCCAAACCCTTCCAACTCCCCACACACTCCACAACCCCAACCCATTCCACCTCCCCACTCACTCCATGCTCCCAACCCCTTCCACCTCCCCTCATCCCAGGACCCCACAGCCCCCAGGGCCCACTGGTGACCGTGGGGTGGCCGTGTCCCACTCACCGCGCGGGGACGGCGCTATACGCCGTGCACACCGTGCTCACTGTGAACTCGGCCTCGCCTGCCATGATGTCTGAGGGCTGCAGGTTCCTGTCGTACATGGGGTTCTCAAAGGTGCCCCTCACGTTGGTGTTCTCGTGGCCGGCGTAGCCGTTGAACGGGACTTTGGGTCTCCTCCTGTGGCATCGGGGACAAAACCCACACAGGTGATGTCACTACACAACACGGAACACACAATGCACACACAGCGCTGCTTTCAAGATAAAAAAATTGAAAATTTATCTTCTGATTCTAAAATTTATAGGTTTCCAAAAGTGACAATGGGTTGGAGGGTGACAGTGCCACCTCTCCAATGACGCTGGACAAACCAACAGTCCAGCAAATTTCTCCTCCTCCATAAAAGAATGCAAAACAATGAGTTATTTACAGAAAGTGTGTGAGAAAGTTTGTTACATGAATGTAAACTCAGAATGCTTAGAAAATCTTAAGAAATCAAGATGACAGCCCTGAGGGGGGGCAGTGACAGGGGAAACCTGTGGGGATGGGGCAGGAAAATCCATCTGGGGGTTTGCAGCATTGATCAGGACAAAACTGAATTTACACCACATTCAAAGCCACAGGGAGGGGGGGAATTTGCTTTTTATCCTCCCAAATGTGGCCACAAATCCCATTAATGGCCAGAAAAACCATTGCTCTCCTCTCCCAAATCCCAAATCCAAAGAAATGCTTTATTTTTCCCACCTCCTGAATTAAACCAGCCCTAAAAGGGGGATTCGAAGCCCAGCTCACTGATACTCCTCTCAAATCCCTGAATTTATTTCACCTTTTGGAATTACTCTCCCAATCTCCCAAACCCTCTTTGTTGCTGCCCCATCTCCTGAATTAAACCATTTCTAAAGGTGGGAATTTTAAGCCCAGCTCACGGATATATCTCTCAAATTCCTAAATTTCTTTCACCTTTTGGAATTCTTGCCCCAAAACCATGTTTGCAGAGATAAAGCACAAACCCTGCAATAACCTTCCAAACCTTCTGTTTTTGTCCCACCTCCTGAATTAAACCAGCCCTAAAGGGGATGATTTTAAGCCCAGCTCACTGATAATTCCTCTGAAATCCCTGAATTTCTTTCAGCTTTTGGGATTCTTGTCCCAAACCCACCTGTGTTTGTAGAGATAAAGCACAAACCCTGCAATAATCAGGGCGATGAAAGGCACAAGGATGGCGGCTGCCACGGAGCTGCTGTTGGATGCAAAGTGGTGGCCTATGGATTCAGGATCATTTTCCATCATGCTGATGTCTGCAACACAGCAGAAATGAACACATTTCCTTCATTTTCCTTTCACATTTCCCACATTTCCAAACCCTTGCTGGGGGAAAAGGCCTTGGCTCAAAGTACAGGTGGCACCAGCAGCAAAATGAGCGAAGTGGTGTTGGAAAATGGAATTTAAAAAGGGATGTGCAAGGATGGAAATCCAGCCTATTAGGGCTCATCATTTATTTACATCTGCAATTAAAGAGATATATAAATTGATTTATTTTGCCAAAAATGTCCAACTTGGATGCATGAAGTTGGGCTTTAAGGAGACTCTGAAATGCTGCAATAACGAGCATCCATAAAGGTGACGAGATTCCAGCAATCTTGAGGGATTAAAGAGCTCAAACCATGCTTTAAGTGGTATTTAGGAGCTTAAACTTTGGGGGGTTTAAGCTCCCAAGAGCCTCTGTGATTTCTGATGGAGACACTTGCTGTGGTGGGAATGGGATTTGGGCTTGGCAGGGATCTGGGAATATGGAAATAAATATATCCAGGTGTTGTTTGTGCTTCCAAACTCTCCCTGCCTTTGGACAGCAGCCTGGTTATCCCTCATTTTGCTCCCAAATTACAAATTTTATCCTTTGCTGTTTGTTTTGTGCTGCTTGTCTCCCACAAACCTCACACCAAGCTCAGCAGAACTCGGAAAGCGCCGAAAATTCAAGCGAGGGATTGGAGAAAAATTCCCTGTCTGGAAACCCCCAACCAGGCCAAAATGGAGCTTCTGGAATTGAGGGGAAAAGTGCAAATCCAAAGAATTTTACCAAGTCTCTGGAGGCCAAACTGCCCAAAGCCTTTGCCACGCACAAAGCCCTGGTACACGAAGGTGCCACTCGAGGACTCTGACGAGACCTGTGGAGAGTGGAAATCAATGGTTTTATCCAACTTTTCCTTGAATTTAATACCCAGCTCACCCCAGCCCCTTCCAAGTGCATTAATTTGATGCAATTCCCCAGAAAATTCTGGCATTTTTTAAGGAGTTTCACTGCCCTACAGCTGAAAATTCTCCATTCTCAAAGGAAGGGAAGCTAAAAAAATCTTGTTTGTGATAAACTGGAGAGGACATTGGTGATTCCAGAGGGAGAGGGGAAAAAGTGGCCATGGGTCACTTGGATCCACATTTTTTCCAAGCTCCTTTGGATCCCTAAAGGGCTTGGGAAACTCCCAGACACAGGTAAAGGGTGAGGAGTAGGGAAAATAAGCTTTTCCAGCAAGATGTTGAGCAGATGTAAAACATCCACAGGGAACAAATCCCGTTGGTTTCTCCTCCAGCATTATCTGGGAGATGATGGATTCCAAACCCCAGGGCAATAAAACCAACCCCCAGTTGCAGGAGGAGCTGTCACCTGCTGGAAAAGTGCCACATGTCCCCTCCCAGCTCTGGGAATCATCCCTCAGCTCCAGGGAAGGGAAATCCAGGCTGGGACAGCCATGGGAGGGTGGGTTTTGTTCACTCACGTGTCCATCCAGGGCCCATTTGTCATTCCTGAACTTGTTGGCAAATATCTCCAGTGGCCCCATGATCTGGTACACCTGGAGCAGCAGGTGCACGTCTTCCTTCTTGTAAATCCCTGGAAAAAAAATGGGATTTTGTCAGCTCTGGTTTGAAATAATTGAGTGGGAGAGCAGAGAAACTACGTCAGGATTTGAGTTGGTGGTGGGAAACACAGCCCAGGATACTGAAGGTATTTTCCACATGGGAAAGGACTCAACTCAATATTTAATTAATATTCAGGAGGGCAGGGACATGGAGCACTGATGGAATCATGAGCTGGAAGGGACCCCCAGGGATCATCAAAGTCCAGCTCACATAATTTCATGGTTTTTACCCAAAAGCTCCAAGTCCTACCTTGGGCACCTCCAGGGATGGGCACTCCAAACATCCCTGGGCAGCTTCAAGGTGTTTCCATGGAGAAATATTCCCTAAAATCCAACCTGGCACAGATTGAGGCTGTTTCATCCTGGGAGCAGAGCCTGACCCCTCTCCTGTCAGGGAGTTGTGGGGAGCCCCTTGAGCCCCATCAGGAGTTCTCCAAACCCTTTTCCAGCTCCATTCCCTTCTCTGGACACACTCCAGCCCCTCAATGTCTCTCTGGCCATGAGTGACCAGAACTGGACACAGCCCTAGAGGTGTCCCAGTGATGCAGACAGGAAGAGAAATTATAAAAGAAAGGCCTCATAAAATCAGGCCTAAATTAATGGCTGCAAGTTCCCATGAGAAAACAATCTTGGTATGAAAGATTCATTAACATAAAAATCTATTCCTAGAGTGAAAAATAATTGCACCAGTATAAACAATAAGAGCTGTCTCATGAGAATCAGTAGAAAAAATATGTAAACTAACTAAAAATACAGAAGTTTGACAAACAAGCAAAATACCTTGTACTGACCCATAAATTAAGCATGAATGTATTGTCCACCAGTAAGATTTGACACAGTACTGATAACACTATAAAATAGAACCTATTATAGATATAGGTTATATTTTATAGTGTTATATATAATATAACCTCTGATAATCCCATAAAATATGACCTATCCAATCCAGAATTGGCTTTTATCACAACATCCCAGCAGTGCTCTCGTGTTGCTGTTGATATTCTCTGCCCTAAGATGTGCAGGGTGTCTCTGTTTCGGCCCGTGCAACTGAAGAATGAGTCTGGACTCTTCACTTTTTGGTCTTGAGGTTGTTTATTAATTCTTATCTATAAAATTTTCTTTCTGCCCAGCCGAGATCTGCTCAGCAGGGCAGCCACAGGCACTCTGTGTTGTCCTTTTATACTACAAACTACCTATAACATATTTACACTTAATTCCCAATACCCATCACCTGTGTTACACAGTGCACTTCTACTCTAAACCAATCCCAAAGTGCCAACATCGCTGCAGAAAATGGAGAACAAGAAGGAGAAGGAGAAAGGCTGGAAACGTCCAAGTTCCTCCATCTTGTCCCCATAACCCCCATACCAAAAATCCTAAAATCTTTATTTTCACCCTGTGATCATTTTGTTATTACACCATTCAAACCTGTGTGACTTTCAGGTCCTCATACAATGCTGGTAACTTGCTCCAGGGGTCACAATCAAATCCCCAGGTGTTGTGGGCTGTGTGCCAGGGTCTCTGAGCCCCGCAATGGGGTCCTCGGCAACTCTGGACATCCAAAGGGATGTGCTGAGTTCCCACACAGGGAACGGCCCTGGCAGTGCCAATGCCACCCCCTCCCAAAGGTCACATTGTCTGTCCCTCACCTGACACCTGGAGCTCCACCCCGCTGTGGTCGATCAAGGTGGCGTTGACCTTGCTGGTGGCAGGGTCAAAGCTGGTGACAGAGAGCATGGCTGGCTGCTTCTTCCCCATGTACTCGTAGGAGCCTTTCCACAGGGAATTCCTTGCAAACACATCTGCAGGCACTGGAATTACAGCAGTGAGAGATGTGAAAAAAAATACCCAGCAGCATTTCCATTTTTTCAGGAAAAAAAAAAAAACAGAGCAGGATTTCTGTCTTTCTTTGAATTCACTGATAATAATTAGATTGTTTTAAATATTTAATATTTCAAAAATATTTTGTATTTTAAGTATCTTCAATCACACCTGCTCTGAGCCATCACCATGAGGGACAAAGACAAAACCAGTAACTTTAATTTGGCTGTTGTGACCAAAAACACAAGGATAGTTTAAAAAACAAACCAGCCCCAAAATAATTTATTAGGAAAAGCTCAAATAAACTTATTAGGAAAACTTAAAATAAAAAAGGATAAATGTACAGGAAGGGCTGGAATGCTGTGGGGAGGAATATGGATCTTGATGTTCAGCTCCTGTAAGGATCCTGTTTGTTGTCCATGGAATAGGATGGGGCATGTGGCAGTTTCCAGAGTGTGAAAAATGCATGTATTTTATGATTGGCTTTTCTCAAATATTAACATTAATATTATATGTGTTGTGTTAGAAAGTGATGCTGTATTAATTCTCTTAAGTAGTGGGTAAATATAGTTTTAGGATATAAAAAACGTTAAAATAGAAACTATGCTATGTAGGATACTTTTTTTTAAAGAAAAGACTTGCACTGAGATAGCAGCCACAGGACACCTAAATCTTTCAGAGAAACAGAATTTATTCTTCTTATCAGAAGAAACGAACTTCTTCCCACCTCTAAGGTGCTGTTAGGATTCAGAGGAAGAAGTAGGGACCGACCAGACAGAATCCTGTGTTTGAATGGAATTTATGCATCGTGTATGAGGTGTATGAATATGCAACAGGCTGTTGCTTTTAATGGTTAATCCTTTGTTAACAGGTGTCCTTTTTTGGATACCCAGACTGTACATAACTCTTTGTCTCTATTGTCTCATATTGTCCTAATCCAAATTGTCCAAATCATTATTACTCAAATTATATTACTATTTTTATAACCCTTTTATTACCATTAAACTTTTAAAATGTTAAAAACAAGCGATTGGCATTTTTCACACAGAGGAGGGGATTCAGGAGGGTGGATTTGAGGGGGTTTTAGGGCTGTGCCCACGGGGAGGAGCCCCCTGAGCCTCACCTGAGGCCTTGGCGAGCGGCGGCTCCCGCGCGGTGCCCACGGGTCTCCCACTGGGCCGGACATCGGCTGGGACAGGGGACAAAGCACAGCTGGTCACTATTGCATTGTATTGTATTGTATTGTATTGCATTGTATTGTATTGCATTGCATTGCATTGCATTGTATTGTATTGTATTGTATTGCATTGCATTGTATTGTATTGTATTGCATTGCATTGTATTGTATTGTATTGCATTGCATTGCATTGAATTGCATTGCTTTGCATTGCATTGCACTGCATTGCACTGCATTGCTTTGTATTGTATTGTGGGGTCTGGCACTGCCCCCGCAGAATTCCTGAGGCTGGAAAAGCTCTCCAAGGTCACAGAGCCCAAGTTGTGCCTCATGCTCAGCTTGTCACCCAGCCCAGAGCTCTGAGTGCCACGCCCAGGGGACAAAGCACAGCTGGTCATTATTGCATTGTATCGCATTGCATTGTATTGTATTGTATTGCATAGCATTGCATTGTACTGTACTGTATTCTATTCTATGCTATGCTATGCTGTTCTGGGGTCTGGCACTGCCCACCCAGAATTCCTGAGACTGGAAAAGCCCCCCAAAGTCACAGAGCCCAGGCTGTGCCCAATGCCCAGCTTGTCACCCAGCCCAGAGCTCTGAGTGCCACGTCCAGGCTTTCCTTGGATGCTCCAAACCTCTCTGTGCAGCCCCTGCCAAGGCCTGACCACCCTTTCTGTGCAGAAATTTTCACTAAAATCCGACCCCAAACTGCCCTGGCCCAGCCTGAGGCCGTTCCCTCTGCTCCTGTCCCTGTTCCCTGGGAGCAGAGCCCAATTTGGGGCTGTCCCCTCGTGTCAGGAGTTGTGCAGAGCCACAAGGTCCCCCCTGAGCCTCCTTTTCTCCAGACTGAGCCCCCTCAGCTCCATCAGGACTTTTCCAGCTCTGTTCCTTTCCCTGGACACTCTCCATTCCCTCCATGTCCCAGATGGACGAGCCCAAAGCTGGACACAGCACTCAGGGTGTCCCTCACCAGTGCCCAAGACAGGGGACAATCCCTCTTCTGCTCCTGCTGGTCCATCCCTGATCCACCATGGGCACACCTGGCTCATGGCCAGCTCCTGTCCCTCAGCACCCTCAGGTCCCTCTCTACCTTTCAGCCACTGTCCCCAGCCTGTCCTGCCTTTCCCTCTGCTCCAACCCCAAGTGTCCAGAGTGACCCCACTCCAGGAGAGCCACAGGGCTCCATTTCCATGGATCAGAACAAGTTCTTCATCCAAGACTCTGTGGCAGGTAAAATGTGGGGGAGATAAACAATTTTTGTCCTGTACAGGTTCTTCTAGACCCAAAAACTCCCCAGAAGATCCCCAGGTGACTCTTTGCAGGTGGCACCTGAGTGTTGGGTCACAGGTTGGACTTGATGACCTCAAAGGCCTTTTCCAACCATGTTCTGGGATTCTGCAATGGAGACCAGTGATGGAGACCCTCCCACCAAGCGAAAATCAGGCTGGGCCATCCCACAACTTTTAAGGGAACAAAATCAAGGCTGAAAACACCTCCCCTCTCCTTCCTTGGAGTTCTGACACCAAAACTGAATCTTGAGTTTATCTGCAGGTTGAAAACCACCTTTGAAGGACCTCAAGGCCCAGGATCTCCACAAGCTGAGAGCCTGGGGAGGGTCTCAGAGCCCAGCTGGTGCTGCCAGCCCCTCACCCAGGCAGATGGGGGGCTTCCCTGTCCAGCTGCCGTCGGCTTTGCAGGTGCGGTGCTCGGAGCCCCCGGTGAGGTAGAAGCCGCTCTGGCAGGAGTAGATCAAGGTGTAGCCCAGGGAGGGCAGGTCCAGGGCACCCACGTTGGCATGGGATGGGGTCTCGGGCTGCTTGCAGTGGTGGGCTGGAGGGGACAGGGAGAACAGGTGAGAGAAACCACCCAGGTGGGCACGGGGAGGGTGAGAAGTGACACGGTGACAGCAACAGGGGAACCCTCCTGGAAGAGGTTCTACACCACAGCTCACAGGGATTTTTCCCAGCTGGAAGAGCTTCCCATGCTGGGTTTCTCTTCCTGGCTAAAGCTGAACCTGGCTCCAGCTGATGAGCTGAAAATCAGGATTGGCCACCCCCATTTTTAAGGGAAAAAGACAAAACCAAAAGGTGCTGAAACACCTCTGAGCCCAGAACTGAGTGCCAGACTAAAAACTGCCTTTGCAATCCCCAATTCTCCCTAAAATGCCACACATTTCCTGCAAGGATTCCTTTTGCAGAGCCTGGCTGAGGGCCCCAGCTCCCTGTTGGCATTCCCAGGACTCACGGACGCAGTCGGGCTGGACGCCGCTCCACGTCAGGTTGGGCAGGCAGGTCCTGGTGGTGGAGCCCTGCAGGAGATATCCCTTCTGGCACCTGAAGAACAGGATGCTTCCCACCTGTCCCAACAGGAGACTATCACTCAGCTTCCCAGGGATTCCCAGACTTTCATTCCATCCCCTTGTCACCACCTCATCCCTCACAGGAGCAGCTCCACTCCCAGCTGAGCAAAAATCCCATTTATGGTGTCTCCAAATTAATTAAACATAAAATAAATTAATTAAACTTCAAGATTAAGGTGACTAATTAGCAGGAAAATGGAAGGATCCACTCTGCCATCCACTATCCCAGCAGGGAATGGGTGGGAATGGAGCCCCCCAAGGGAGCCACTGTGGGATTTTTGTCCCCATTCCAACGATTTCCTGCTGGATGAGAGATGGGATTAGCAAAAGCACCTGCAGGATTTGGCCTGAAAATTAATGGGAATTAATGTGAATAGCAGCAACTATTAATTAGCACTGTAATTAATTTCAGATACAATGCACTGCCTAATTAATGCTGTGCAAACCCACTCGGAGGGCTAAAGGAGCACGTTGGGGTGTCCTGCCCCCAGGAGGAGACAGGAATCCATGGAAGGACACATGAATGCATGGGATGAGACATTAATCCATGGAAGGGCACATTAATCTATGGGATGAGACATTAATCCATGGAAGGACACAGGAATCCATGGGATAACACAAGAATCCATGAGAGGGGACATGAACTCATGGAAGGAGACAATAATCCATGGAAAGATGCAAGAATCCATGGAAGAAGGACATGAATCCACGGGAGGAGACATTAATGCATCAGGGGAGACATGAATCCATGGGAGAACATGTAAATCTATGGGACAACACAGAAATTCATGGGATAACATGTGAATTCATGAGATAACATGTGAATTCATGGGAAGAGACACTAATCCATGGGAAGACACAAGAATCCATGGAAGGACACATGAATCCACAGGATAATCCATGGGGTAACATGTGAATCCATGATGGGAGGCATTAATTTATGGAAGGACACATGAATCCATGGGAGAACAGAATAATCCATGAGAGGAAACTTGAATCCATGGGAGAACACAAAAATCCATGGGATAACACAGGAATCCGTGGGAGAACACGTGAATCCAGGCCAAGGACCGAGCAGGGCTGGCTTTGTGGCACACCCCTCGTCCACGGCCATACCTGGTATCCCTGGGAATTGTTCTGCATCCCAAAAAGAGGCACTCCAGGATCTGCACACGTCGTGAGGCTGGGATCTGTTAAAAACAGGGAAGGGATTTATGGGAGAGCTCAGAGCCCTCCAGGCACACGGGTCCTGCTGTACCTCTGGAACACAAATGGGATTTGGCTCTGAAGGAACACACAGCAACAAGGAGAACACATGGATCTTCCTGTTCCTTAAATCCCTGCCTGCTGCAGAAAGAAGCAACCAAGTTTTTAATTAATGACCAATCACAGCCAGTTGTGTTGGACTCTCTGAGTCTGTCACGGGTTTTTATTATTCATTCTTTTCTGGTTTTCTGATGTCACCTTTCTCTTTCTTTAGGATGGTTTTAGTATAGCATTTTCTTATAATATGATATGATGTAATTTTATTTAATATATAAATATATATAATTTATACTTATTATACAATTATATTTATATTTATAACTATAATAATATATTTATAAATATGTTTAATATATTGATATTATATAAATACTATAATATAATTAATATATAACATATTAATATATAATATATTATATATATTATATATTACATATTATATTTAATTAGTATATTTATATATAATACATATTCAAGTATATATAAAATATATATTTATATAATATTTATAATAAATTTATTATTATAATTATATCTATAAATACAATTATAATTATATTAATATATACATAATAAATAATGTTTAATATAATATATATAAAATATATTATAAGTTCATAATATAGTATCAGTTAATAATATAATATAATATAATATAATATAATATAATATAATATAAATTTAATATATATTTAATATAATATATATTTAATATAATTTCATAATATAATAAATCAGCTTTCTGAGAACTTGGGAGTCAATTCCCATCTCTCACCCCATCCTGGGGACCCTCACAACACCACAACAAAGCACCACGGTCACCCCGCTCTCCTCTCTGCCCTCTGCTCCCATCCTGACCTCCAAGGACCCCCAAGGGGTTGGGACTGGAGGTGAAGGGAGCCCCCAAAGCCTTCACTGAGCCCCCAAAGCCTTCACTGAGCCCCCCTTACCGATGCAGCTGGGCTGGGTCCCGCTCCAGGTGCCGTCGGACTGGCAGAACCTGCGCGCCGACCCCACGAGCACCAGCGGGGCCAGGCAGGAGAAGGACACGGACGAGCGGTAGGTGAAGCCTCGGTCCTCCCTCCTGCCCTGGGCTGGGGTGCCCGGGTCCCCACAGAACACGGCTGCAACAGCAAAGGGACAGGGAGGTGGCCACAGAGCCCCCAGGAATGCCACATCCCATCACGGCCCATCCAACTCCATGATCAGCTCGGGAATCAGGGGTGGCTGAAGGTGCTGCTGGCTGCATTCCTTGTAATTATCTCCTTTTGTCGATGGTTGTTAATTAACTTCCACCTTCTCCCCCGGATTTGCCTTTTTTTCCCCCCTCTTTTTTCTCTCCCCTAATTGCACGGTGTCACTTTGTTCCTTGGCTCTGTATCACACGGAAAGCCCACTAATTATCCCGGATCCTGGGAAAGGTGTGAGGAACAGTGAAGGCTTTGTGGGATTTAATATGAAAATCGATATTGTGCAGCTGGAAAAGGGACTCAGAGCTGCCTTTAGCACCAGGAGATGCTAATTCCTTTTTTTTAATTCTCTTTTTTTTTTGGTGTTTGCTGTTGTATCAAACCCACCCAGCCTTCACAAAACATTCCCAACTTCTGCTGCAACACGGTGCCTTTTGCTAAAGGATTTTTTTGGCAGTTCCAGGAGTGCTGATTGCAGAAGACTGAGTCACTGAGGTCAAACACCCAGTTTTGCGGATGTTTTGTAGGCAGGAACATGGAAAATGCCTGGATTCATCCCAAATGTGGCATCACCCTTCTGTCACAAGGGGTAGAGTGACCACCTGTGTCCCTGCCTGCACTTCACAGATGCCAAAGCAAGGCTCCCAAAAAACCAAGCCATGAAGGAGGTGGGAGAGCAGCCAGACTTAGGCTTCAAACTCTTCAACCATCCCCACAGCACCAAAAATTCCCACTCCAGCTGCTGGAAAACTCCATTTATGAACGGGGCACGAAGCACAGCAAGATCCCTCTAAACCCTGAGCTGCTCAGTGACACAGAGCTTGGGGAAAAAACTTGGAAAAAGCCCTAAAAAGCTGGATTTGAAGCAGAATCCTGGTGGAGGAGAGGGCAGGTGGCTACTCACGGAAGCACTGGGGGATCTCCCCGCTCCAGGAGCCGTTGCCCTCGCAGGTGAGCACGGCGGGCAGGGACAGCTGGTAACCCTCCAGGCAGGCGTAGCTGATGCTGGAACCCCAGCTGAAATCTGACCCCACCACCTTCCCGTTGGGAATGGCCTGGGGAGCTCTGCAGGTGATGGCTGGGGGAGGAGGAAAAAGAAGGAGAAGGAGGAAAAGGAGGAAATGGAAAAGGAGGATGACAAAGAGAAGAAGGAGGAGGAGAAGAAGGAGGAAAAGGAGAAGAAGAAGGAGAAGAAGGAGAAGAAGGAGAAGAAGAAGAAGGAGAAGAAGGAGAAGAAGGAAGAAGAAGGAAGAAGAGGAGCAAAAGGAGGAAATGGAAAAGAAGGAGGAGAAGGAGAAGAAGGAGAAGGAGGAAAAGGAGGAAAAGGAGGAAAAGGGAGAAAAGGAGGAAAAGGAGGAAAAGGAGGAAAAGGAGGAAAAGAAAAGGAGGAGGAGAAGAAGAAGAAGGAGGAAAAGAAGGAGGAGGAGAAAAAGGAGGAGAAGGAATAGGACAAGGAAAAAAGGAAAATGAAAAGGAAAAGGAAAAGGAAAAGGAAAAGGAAAAGGAAAAGGAAAAGGAAACGGAAAAGTAGAGTCAGGTCTCTCCACTTCTTAATTATTTCCATTAACAAGCAAATTCCACCTAGGTGCAAAGTCACCTCCTGCTCTCCAAGAGCATCTCCCCGGATTGGCACAAAGTGGGGTCAAACCCTTCAAAGTTTGCAGTTCAATCCCAAATAATGAAATATCCCATGGGAAGGGATCCATGAGGATCATCCAAGCCCTGGCCCTGCACAGACACCCCAAAACCCCCCCCTGTGCATCCCTGAGAGCGTTGTCCAAACATTCCTTGAGATCCTGGGGCTCTGCTCAGTGCCCCACCACCCTCTGGGGGAAGAACTTTTCCCTCAGCATCTCCACAAATCCGATTTTGAAGTCAATGCTCGTTCCCAGCTGAAGGTAAAAATCTGCCCTGACATGGTGTGAAAGCTCATCTCAGATTTCCCCGAAGATTCACACATTTTGGACAACCTGGCTGAGGCTCAGACGAGCAGTTGAAGCCACAACCTGTCGGGTTTTCACCCACTCTGGGGTGTTTGGAGATGACATTTTTGCAGCACTCTGCTCTTCAGCTCAGAGCAGCCAAACCTGTGCCTCCAAATGAGACTCTTGGCCACATTCTGGATCATTTCTGCAGCATTTGCTCAGTGCAGAGGATGAAAAAGGAGAGGAAGAATTGCTCTTTACAGCCTCTGAAGGAGCTGGAGCGCATTTGAGGGTTTTTATGTGGCCTGTTTTTATATCAGTTCCGTGACAGGTGAATTTTCCAGATTTTTAAAGGAATGCAGCGATGCTGCCACTCATTTTATCTGTGCTGGGGGGTCAGGAAAACAGATCCAGCCTGCCCAGCCACTGCTTTCCTATTTCCCTTTTCTATCTCTGAACCACAGGAGCCATCTCAGAATAATGAAAAGACTCGCAGGGAACATTTTTCAGATGTTTCTGGGTGATGCCAGCACAGCGTCTGCTGGAAAAACACAATATTTCATCTGAGCTTGATCCGAGTTTTTTGTGCAAAATCACTTTACTCCCTGGGCTTTGAAGGAGAGCAGCAACTCCTTCCCTCCCTGCCAGGCACAGATTGATAGCCCTGAGCACAGCAAGGCGTTGCTGCTTCCCTGACAAATGCCAAACTTTGTGTGTGGAATGAGGGAGATGAGGAACGCCCAGCCAGGCTTTCATGGAAACTCTGGTGGCCTCCAAAACTTGTGTCCTGCAGGGTTCCTTACCCTTGCAGACGGGTTTGGTGCCGTTCCAGGTGCGGTCTTTGGTGCAGGTGAGGGCAGCAGCTCTGTCTGACTCCATCATGAAGCCAGGAGTGCACTGGAACACCACGGATTTGTTGTAGGTGAAGTCACTGCCCAGCCTCAGCCCGTTGGCCGGCACACCGGGGTCTCCACAGTTGATCACTGCCAAGGAAGGGAAAAAGGAGAATTTCTGGCAGCTGGAACCATGCCTGGAATGGTCCGGAATGTTTTTTTCCAGGTGGGGTTTAACCAGTTAAATGTGGAGCAGGTTTGCAGCCTGCGATTTGGTTCATTTGTCCTTGGTGCCCAGCTGGAGCAGGAATTGTTTTGTCTCCCTGCTCTGTGCACAGAGCTCACCATCCCTGATATGAAGCCCAGACCCACACACCAAAGCAGCACAGAACCTGAGAAATATAAAAGTTAAAACCAGAGGCGCCACCAGTGCTCACCAGTGCACTCGGGGCTGGTCCCAGTCCAGGTGCCATTGACGGTGCAGTGCCTGCTCAGCACCCCAGTGGAGTAATAACCCTCCCTGCACTGGTAGATGATGGAGCTGGAGAACACCAGGCCGTCGTTGAAGATCACCCTGGCGTTGCTGGGAGTCCCGGGGTTCCCGCAGGAAATCAGTGCCAGGGGAAACGGGGAAATTCAATTAAAATCACCCAGAAACCACAAACCGACCCCCAGGGCTCCGAGGGGTTCCTCCTGCATTGCCTGTGCTCAGGAAAGGCAAGTTCTGAGGACATGAGAACACTTCTGGGGACATGAGAACAGTTCTGGGGACACCAGAGCCATTCTGGGGACACTAGAGCAGTTCTGGGGACACCAGGACAGCTCTGGGGACAATAGAACAGTCCTGGGGACATTGGGGCAGCTCGGGGACATCAGAGCAATTCTGGGGACACTGGGGCAGTTCTGGGGACATCAGAGCAATTCTGGGAATACCGGGATAGTCCTGGGGACAGCAGAACAACTCTGGGGACACCAGGGCAGTTCTGGGGACACCAGAAGAGCTCTGGGGATAGTGGGGCAGCTCTGGGGACACCAGAACAGCTCTGGGGACACTGGGGCAGCTCTGGGGACACCAGAACAGTACTGGGGACACTGGGGCAGCTCGGGGGACATCAGAGTAATTCTGGGGACACCTGGGCAGTCCTGGGGACCCCAGGGCAGCTCTGGGGACACTGGAGGTGTTCTGGAGACACCAGGGCAGCTCTGGGGACACCAGAATACCTCTGGGGACACCGGGGCAGTCCTAGGGACACCAGAACAGCCCTGGAGACATCAGAGTGATTCTGGGGACACAGAAGAGCCCCGTGTCGCAGCAGTACCTTCGCACTCGGGCTGCGTGCCGCTCCAGGAGCCGTTGGCGTGGCAGACCCTCTCGGAGGAGCCGCGCAGGGAGTAGCCGGGCTCGCAGCTGAACCGCACCACGCTGCCCACGTCGAAGGCGTCCCCCAGCCCGATCCCGTGCGAAGGGATCCCGGGGTCGCCACACACGCCCTGGCTGCCCCCTGCCAGGAGAGCACAGAGTCACCACAGCCACCAGGGATGGAGGCTCCTGTCCCTTGTCACCCTCATCGGGAATTCCACCCCCAGCAGAGCAGTGGAACTCCAAATTAAACATTCCCTGATTCCGTGAGCCCCCCTGGTTTTGAGCTGGATGCAAACATGGCCACAATTCCTGAATCCCAAGGTGGAGGCTCCAGCATCAGCCCCAGGGATGTTTCTCCTCCGTGAAGGAATTCCCACGTGCTCCAAGCCAGCCCTGAGCAGCTGGGAGTGAGGGAACAAGGAGGGTTGGGGCATGGGAGGAAGGGAAGGGAAAAGGGGAAAAGGGGAAAAGGGGAAAAGGGGAAAAGGGGAAAAGTGGAAAAGGGAAGGGTTGGGGGTGTCCAGGGAAGGGAAGTTCAGGTAAGGGAAGGGGAGGGAGGTGCCTCCTCCTCAAGGCGCAAGAGTAGGTGATGATGGGTGGGAGGTGATGACAATGGATGGGTGACCATGAACGAGTGACCATGGCCAGCTGATGGTATCTGGGTGACCACGAACAGGTGACCAAGAACAGGTGACCATGAACAGGTGATGGTATCTGGGTGACCACAAACAGGTGACCATGGCCAGCTGACTGTGGCTGGGTGACCATGAATGGCAGTGATCATGAACAGGTGACCAAGAAGGGATGACCATGAATGGGTGACCACAAACAGGTGACCATGGCCAGCTGACTGTGGCTGGGTGACCATGAATGGCAGTGATCATGAACAGGTGACCAAGAAGGGATGACCATGAATGGGTGACCACAAACAGGTGACCATGGCCAGCTGACTGTGGCTGGGTGACCATAAATGGATGACCATGGCTAGGTGACCATGAACAGGTGACGAAGAACAGCTGACCAAGAACAGATGACCATGAACAGGTGACCATGAACAGGTGACCATGTCTGTGTGCCCCCCAGGGCCCTTCCCAAGCCCCCTCACCCGAGCAGTGTGGCAGGGAGCCGCTCCAGCGCCCGTCCAGCTGGCACATCCTCGTGGCATTGCCCACCAGCGTGCGCCGGCCCAGGCAGCTGTACCTGACCACGGAGCCCACCGTGTGCTTGTCCCCCGAGATCTGCGCGTGGGGAGGGGACCCGGGGTGGCCACAGGACACCACTGCAACAGAGACACGGCTTCAGCACCCGGGGATCCAGAATTCTGGCTTGGGGGGACCTTAAATGTCAGTTAGTGCCACTCCTTTCCATGGGCAGGGATGCTTTTCCCTATCCCTGGTTGCTCCAAGCCCTGTCCAGCCTGGCCTTGGACACTTCCAGGGATGAGGACAGTCCCAGCTGCTCTTGGCACATGTGCCAAAGCCTCCCCATCCTCACAGGGAAGTTCAACACACAGGAAACAAAACATAAGAAAATCTCCTTTTTTTTTAAACTTTGAAACCCAGGAATCCAAGGAATCAGTGGTAAAATTGACCTGGGTTTCCAAATGTCAACAAATCCTCCAAATCCCAACATTTTATGCGAGATAAAATGGAGGAAGGAGATTCCTTGTACTCAAGGAGGCTGAGGGAACCTGGGATTGGGGTTTTAACAGGAATTCCCTCCCGGCTGTGGGAACATGGATCATCACTCACCAGCTCCCCAGGATCCATGCAAGGGGTGAAGAGAGGACAAAAGGAAAGGAAAACGTGTCCAAAACTGCTCGGTAGGATTTGGTGTGGAGGGAGAAACGTGGGAAAAAACAAAAGGAACAATCCCAGCTTTGGAACAGCTCAAGCCAATTGGAATTTCTGGAGTTGGGCAGGGAATGGGATTGCAGCTGGTTTGGTGCCCAAAGGGACAAAATGGTCATGCTGGGGTGGGGCTGCTCCTGCCTGCACCTCCCTAAGGCAGCTAAAATCCACTCTGGATCCCAAATTCCCAGTGTAAGATTGAGACTCACTCACTCAGGTGAGTCCTCACTCAGGTAAGCCCTCACTCATCCAGGTGTACCCTCAGCCACTCAGGTGAGCTCTCCCTGTGCTCCAGAGCTGCTCCTGCCCTCCACCTGCACTATCCCAGCTGAATCCTCTCCTCAAACCCCACAACCCATCAGGATTCCACCTGGAACACCCAAATCCATCAGGATCCGCCTGTCCCTACAGAGAGAACACCCTCCAGCAGGATCCTCTCCTCAACCCCAAAATCCATCGGGATTCCACTTGGAATCTCCAAAATCCGTCAGGATCTACCTGTTGCTACATAGAGAATGTCTCTTTTCCTCAAACCCCAAAATTCGTGAGGATTCCACCTGGAACCGCTAAAATCCAATGGAATCCACCTGTCCCTACATAGAGAACCCTCTCCAGCAGTATCCTCCCCTCAAACCCCAAAATTCATTGGGATTCCACCTGGAACCCCTAAAATCCACTGGGATTCATGTGTCCTTACAAAGAGAACCCCCTCCACCAGTATCCTCTCCTCAAACCCTAAAACACATCAGGATTCCACCTGAAACCCCCAAAATGCATCAGGATCTGCCTGTCCCGAGACAGAGGACCTCCTCCACCAGAATTCTTTCTTCAAACCCCAAAATTCATTGGGATTCCACCTGGAACGCCCCCAAATCCACTGGGATCCACCTGTCCCTACACAGAGAAACCCCTCCAGTAGAATCCTCTCTTCAAACCCTAAAATCCATCAGGATCCACCGTTTCCTGAGAATGCCCTCCAGGAGGATCCTCTCCTCAACCCCAAAACCCATCAGGATTCCACCTGGAACCCCCAAACCCATTGGGATCTGCCTTTCCCTACACAGAGAATGCCTCCAGGAGGATCCTCTCCTCAACCCCAAAACCCCCTCCCTAGGAAACTCCTGAAACCACTGGGACCATTCCCACATGGATTTTTTTGTGGGGATTTTTTTTGGGATGGATTTTCCCTCACGAATCCTGCTGACCCCCACGAGATGCGCTGGACAGGGAGAGGGGTTGGGGCCACTTACAAAGGCACTGGGGGAGGGCTCTGTCCCACGTGCCATCGCCCTGGCACGTCAGGACGTGCGTCCCCAACAGATAAAATCCGTGGCTGCACTGATAGGACACGGTGGTGCCGAAGCTGAACCTGTGCGGGCCGCTCGGCTGCACTTGCCGCACGCTGTTTTCCAGATGCCCGGGGTCAGAACAGTTCACAACTGCAAACAGACAACAGAACAACACCCAGAAAATAATGGGAAGCGAAAAGTGAGGCAGAAAATGTGAAGTTTAAAAAAAAAAAAAAAATTGGTGGGAAGTTGAAGATTTTATGCTGATTTAAGATTTTTTTTCCCGAGATTTTTTCTCTGAGATTTTTTTTTCTCCGAGATTTTTGAGGGTGGGAGTGGAAAAATTTCTTGTGAAAAAGGGAGTCCAGGCAATCCTGCAGGTTGTCACCCAGCAGCAGAGGCTGGATCTCCAAATTGGGATTGAGATTATCCAGCTGGGAATAACTGATCCCAAACCGGGATTTTTTTGGGAATAATTGATAATCCAGCATGGCCAGAGATCCTGGATTAGGGGGATGCAGAGGGAGGGAGTGCAGGGAGGGGAGGGGATTTGGGAAGTGAATCTGAGTGCTGATCCCATGGGAAAAGAGGGAAAAGGGCTCTGCACAAAGCTGTGGGAAGATATTTCCTGGGAAGATAAACGAGGAGGTTGGACAAGGTGATTTGGGGGGGAGCAGAGGAGAGATCCTGATTTTCCATGGACATGGATTGTGACCACCAGGGCATGTTTATAGGCTGTGCCTGCCTTTAACACCCTCTGACCCCAAATTTGGGTCTGATCCCAAATCTGATCTGATCTGTGCCTGCCTTTAACACCCTCTGAGCCCAAATTTGGGTCTGATCCCAAATTTCCAACACGCTCCAACTCCTTGGAGAACGCATTGAGGTGAGGAAATCCCGTGGGATTTACAGCATCCCTGGCATCTCCAACCACATCCCCTGGGTGGTTTCCAGGGATTTCTGGCTTGGGATCATGGAGAATCCCCAGGGAAGGCCAGACTGACCTCGGCAGGAGGGCAGGGTGCTGCTCCACTGGCCGTTGGCCAGGCACTGGGATTGGGAAGCTCCCTCCAGGCGGAATCCGGGGTTGCACTGGAATTTGGCCACGTCGTTGAGGTTGAACTGGGAGCCCTGGGTGAGGCCGTTGGGGGGGTTGCCAGGGTGGCCACAGGTGATGGCTGCAAGGACAAAATGGAAATGTCACTGGATTTATTCCTGGAGAAAAGTGGATTATTCATTGGAAAAAGATGTGAAGGTAGGAGAGCATAAAAACCGCCACATCAATCCCAAACCCCAAAGATTTGGGGCTTCTCTGTTGAGATACAGGATGACATTGAAAAAAAGGGATTTTTTTAGGTTTTATTTGCTCCAGGAATTCCCTGCATCCCTCTCCAGGCAGCCGAGTGCCAGGATCCCACTGATTTACACCACACATCCCTCTCCAAAAATCCCAGCTCCTGCTCTTAACCCCACACCACCCCACGCATCCAAACTCTGTTGTTCCCTCCCTCTCTCCCTGTCCCCCCTGGGCTGAAGGAATGACAAGTACTGATGAACACAAGAATTTAAGAACAGAAAGATTTGATGGACAAGTAAAATACCTTTTACTCACCAACAGAATAACTGGCAAGAAACCTACCAACCAATTGGAGTCACACGTGAGGTGTGTGACTAAAACTACATAAAAATGAGTTATGTGAATAAAGAATGGGTTTTTTCCTGCATGAAGAAAATGGAGTCTTGATAAAAAAACACCCCAAAGGTGTGTGCATGGCCACCCCACACCTCGAGGGTGTGAGCTCTGCCCAGCCCCTTCCAGGCCCTCCAGGCTGGGATGTCCCCTCAGGGCTGAAGGAATGACAAGTACTGACGCACACAAGAATTTAAGAACAGAAAGATTTGATGGACACAGACCAATAAAGTAATTAGCCAGAAAGCTACTAACCAATTGGAAAGACACATGAGGTCTGTAAAACTGCATAAAAATGAGTTGTGTGAATAAAGAATAGGTTTTTTCCTGCATGAACAAAATGGAGTCTTGATAGCAAAACACCCCGAACGCGCGCGCAGCACAACCACCTCATACCTCAACCACCCCACACTTTGGGGGTGTGAGCTCTGCCCAGCCCCTTCCCCAACCCCTTCCCCAGCCCCTTCCAGGCCGGGATGTCCCCCCAGGGTGAAGCAATGACAATACTTACGCACACAGACAGGCGTTTTCCCGGACCAGCGGTGGTCCTGCTGGCAGATGCGCACGGACATGCCGATGAGGCGGAAGCCGGGCTGGCACTGGTACACCACGCTGCCACGGTAGTTGTAGTTCTCCCCGTTGATCTGCCCGTTCACAATGGGGCTGGGCACGCCACAGTGCCCGGCTGGAGGGGACAGAACGGCAGCAATCAGCTGGAGAGCCCAGCAAAGGTGTCCCCAAAGGGCATCGGGGGATCTCTGCGGGTTTGGGGTGAGGAGAAGCCCAGACCGGGATGGGTTGCAAGGGAATGCAAGGGTTGTCCATAGGGACACCTCTACCATGTCAAATCCAACCTCTCCTTGGACACTTCCAGCTGTGGATGGGGCAGCCACAGCTTTTCTGGGCATGGATGAGGTTTGGAGATGCCCAGATTGGTTTGGGTTGGAAGGGAACATAAGGGTTGTCCACAGGGACACCTTCCACCATGCCAAGTCAGCCTGTCCAACCTCTCCTTGGACTCTTCCAGGGATGGGGCAGCCACAGCTTCTCTGGGCAGGGATGGGGGTTCACAATGCCCTGACTGGTTTAGGTTGGAAGGGAACATAAGGGTTGTCCACAGGGACACTTTCCACCATCCCTGGTTACTCCAAGCCCTGTCCAAGCTCTCCTTGGACACTTCCAGCTGTGGATGGGGCAGCCACAGCTTCTCTGGGCATGGATGGGGTTCATGATGCCCAGATTGGTTTGGGTTGGAAGGGAACATAAGGGTTGTCCACAGGGACACCTTCCACCATCCCTGGCCATCCTCTCCAACCTCTCCTTGGACACTTTCAGGGATGGGGCAGCCCCAGCTTCTCTGGCCAATCCACATCATGCTGTTTATAGGGAAGAATCCACCCCAATATCCATCCACACCCATCCTCTTTCACCTCCAGGCTGTCACCTCAACACTCTGCAGTCCCAACCAACTATCCTCACCCCAAAACTCTCCCAGCACCTCACACCTCTGGAGGACGCAGGAATCCAACTCTGCCTCCCTTTTACACCCCCTTCAAACCCCGCAGGGTGGATGTCAGTCCCTAAACCCCCTGTTCCCTCCCAAGGAGCCTTTCCCACACCCGTGGATGCCGCAGGAGCATCCCAAAGGTACCTACCCAGACACCTGACCTCAGCCCCGCTCCAGAGCCCGTTGGCCATGCACTCCCTGACCCGGGAGCCCACCAGGGTGTAGCCAGTGTTGCAGGAGAAGATGGCAGTGGCCCCGTAGCTGGTGAGGGTCCCGATCTTGTTCCCGTTGGGAGGCGTGGGCAGGTCCCCACAGGAGATAACTAGGACAGATCCCAAAGGATAAGTGAGAGAACAGGCTGGGTTTTGAAGGAATGCATCCAGGCACAGCACCAGGAGTTGCTGCTGGAGTGGGAAAGTTCATTAAATAATTCCAGGAATTGTGATCATTCCAGAGCCATGTAAGATGAGGTGACAAAAATAAGAGCTGTTCATATTTATGCTTCAGGATACAGGGGAACACTAAAGACAGGCTGGGAAAGAACCAAAGGAGTTTTTCACACCAGAGCTTCCTCACAGAGGAATATTTTTCTGTCATTAAGCCTGATTCCCAGAAACCCCACAGAATCATGGAAGGGACCTTAAAGGCCATGAGTGGGGACATCTCCCACTAGGCCAGGCTGCTCCAAGCCCTGACCTTGGAATGGCACAAAGTTCATAATTAAAAGTGACACCCAGCTTTCCCCCACAATCCAAAATCCCAAGATCTGCAGATCCCAGCTGGGTTTGTGGGATGCAGGAGCCTCTGCAAACCCAACCTCCCCCTCAGAACTCTTGGTTTTATCTTCATTTTCTCTGCCTTCAAGCTCTGCCAAGCCTGCAGAGCTCCCGCTGGGTGCTGCTGACCTCGGGGCGCTGCCAAGATGCTGTCACTTGGATTTAGGTGGCAATAAGGCTGAGGGAACAAAAGGAGGTCAGGCTCCTGCTCCCGGATCCAGAGGAAGAGCTGGCAGGGGGAGAAGCACATCTGTCACCCACACCAGCAGTCACAGCTCCACAAACAAAGGCAGGCAGCAGGGAAGGAGAGGCTTTGCTGCCTCTGTCTGCACTTGGAGAGAAAAACCCTGCACCTCTGACAAAGGGAGAGATGCAAAGCACAGCAGTGGTGTCAGAACAACTGAGAGCTGCTGGCGTGCCCCGTTGGGTTTGATTTGCAGGTGACACTGTTACCCTTGTAAACCTGGTGTTTGTGTGAGAGCTGAGGCTTGACAGCAGAATTCTTTATTTTCCCTCCTTAAAAACCCTGACTTCAGAGCAGCTGTGGCAGAGAAGCTGCTGGGACCCCACAGCAACAGCTGAGCTGAAGGGCTTCAGATCCCAGGGAAGTGCTGGGATTAAACCAGGATTCACTTCCAGGCATCTCCCTGCATCCCAATCCCTTCCAGCAGCTCTGCTGTCTCTGCCTCAGCTGCTGACGAGAGTAATTGAGTTCTACCCCACAGCAGAGACGACACCTTCCATGATCCCAGTTTGCTCCAACAGGGATAGGGTAGGTTGGAAGGGATGGGGCAGCCACAGCTCCTCTGGGAAATCCATCCCAGCACCAACCTGCCCTCACAGGGATAGATTTGCTCCCAAAATCTGCACCAAACCATCCCATCCTGTACCCAAAGGGCACCATCTCCTTGGTTAGCCATGATTACCCACCAGCATCATCCTGAAACCCTCAGGGCTGGGATTTGCTGACCCCAAACACAAAACCAGCTCCTGGCGATGCTGCTCTGTGAAATCCATCCCAGCCACTCCCTGCCCTTCCAGGAATGGATTTCCTCCCAAAATCTGCACCAAACCATTCCATCCTGTACCCAAAGGACACCATCTCCTTGATTATCCATGGTCACCCATCAGCAACACCCTGAAACCCCCAAGGCTGGCATTTATTGAGCCCAATCACAAAACCAGTCCCTGGTGACTTCCTCCCAAAATCTGCACCAATTTCCTCCCCAATCTGCACCAAACCATCCCATCCTGTACCCAAAGTACGATCACCCACCAGCACCACCCTGAATCCCCCCAGCTTGGCATTTACTGACCCCAAACCCAACCCCAGCCCCCGGTGCCACCCTGGGGCGCCCCTGCCCTTACTTTTGCAGGTGGGCACGGGCTGCCCGATGCTCCAGGTGCCGTTGGCCTGGCAGCGGATGACCCTCTGGCCCGTGTAGTAGTAGCCAGGGTCGCAGATGAGCATCAGCTGGGCGTTGTAGTGGTACTGCACCTCGTAGGTGAGGCGCCAGCGGCCGTGCTCCACCGCGATGCTGCCCACGTCGGGGCACGTCACAGCTGAGGGGGGAATGGAACAGGGGAAATGGGACATGGGAAATGGCACGTGGGAAATGGGCCATGGGAAATGGCACAAGGGAAATGGGACATGGGAAATGGAACGCGGGAAATGGCACGTGGGAAATGGCACACGGGAAATGGAACACAGGAAATGGCACGTGGGAAATGGCACGCGGTAAATGGCACATGGGAAATGGCACAAGGGAAATGGCACAGGGAAAAGGGCACGCGGGAAATGGTGCAGGGAAAATGGCACAAAGGAAATGGCACAAAGGAAATGGCACAAGGGAAATGGCATACAGGAAATGGCACAGGGAAAATGGCACGTGGAAAATGGCACGCGGGAAATGGCACAAAGGAAATGGCACACGGGAAATGGAACACAGGAAATGGCACGTGGGAAATGGCACACAGAAGTGGCACAGGGGAAATGGTGCATGGGAAATGGCACGCGGTAAATGGCACATGGGAAATGGCACAAGGGAAATGGCACAGGGAAAATGGCACAGGGAAAATGGCACGTGGAAACTGGCACGCGGGAAATGGCACAAAGGAAATGGCACAAGGGAAATGGCACAGGGAAAATGGCACAGGGAAAATGGCACACAGGAAATGGCACAGGGGAAATGGCACGCGGGAAATGGCACGCGGGAAATGGCACAGGGAAAGTGGCACACAGAGATGGTTCAGTGAGGTTTTAACCCCGCCAAAAAAGTCCCAGTGTGGTGGGTTTTTAATGAGGGGTGTGTCATGGGCATGGTTTATGAAAAATCTTTTTGCCAGGATTTTTTCTCCTGAGAAGCTGAGAGGTCTCAGAAATGAAATGTAAACAATGGTTATCTGCTGCTGTGGAATGCAACAGGTGATTGGTGATTGGTCTCATGTGGTTGTTTTTAATTAATGGCCAATCACAGCCCAGCTGTCTTGGACTCTCTGGCCAGTCACAAGATTTTATTATCATTCCTCTCCCTTCCTTTTCCAGCCTTCTGATGAAATCCTTTCTTCTATTCTTTTAGTATATTATTTTCTTTTAATATAATATATATCATAAAATAATAAATCAGCCTTCTGAAACCTGGAGTCAAGATTCTCATCTCTTCCTTCGTCCTGGGACCCCTGTGAACACCACCACAAGGGATGTATCCCCTGGTGAGGCTGTTGTTGAGAATTAAAAGGAAAATTTTGTGGATAATGTTGTAAGTGGTGATGTTGCCTGAAACCCAAAGAGAAAAATGCCTTGCAATGGGGTTAAAATCATAAAATGGGAATCAAGGACACCTCATTGTCTCAGGCCTTGAGAAATGGAAACACAAGTGGGTTTGGGGGAGCAAACTTGGGGTAAATCACGGAATCACAGAATTTCTAGGTTGGAAGAGACCTTTAAGATCATCGAGTCCAACCCATGTTCTAACATCTCAACTAGATCATGGCACCAAGTGCCACATCCAGTCTTTTTTTAAACACATTGAGGGATGGTGACTCCACCACCTCCCTGGCTAGATGATTCCAGTATTTGACCACTCTTTCTGTGAAAATGACTTTGTTAACTGAAGTTAATTGGGAGATTGATCCATTGGCATGTTGGGGGTTAAACTTATAAAAGTGTGAAAAACTATGACCCATTGTCCATTTTGGGTGCAGCCCCTGGGGAGCTTCATCAGCCCTAAATGTACCTGAAAACCCTTCAATAAATAGAACTGCTTTATACTTTTAACTTTTGTTTGGCCTGTGTCTTAGGCAGCCCCAAAGGCCTCCCTGCTGTCTGGGCAGCCCCAGTCCCCACTCACCCAGGCACAGAGGGGGCTGGTTCCCGTTGCTCCACACTCCATCCTGCAGGCACTCGGTGCTGGGCTCGGCGCCCGGCTGCAGCTGGAATCCCTCATTGCACTGGTACACGGCCTTGGTGCCCACCGTGTACTCCTTCCCAAAGACAACCCCGTTCCTTGGGGCTCTGGGAATGCCACAGGAGAGAGCTGGGAAGAGAAAACACATCTTAAACAAAAAATAAAAATCAGGGAGCTGGTGGTTTTATCCCAAATTGCAATCCTGGATCCCGAACTTTCCTACTGGGAGTGCCCACCCTTCATAAAGGATTGTCGGGGCCTCTAGCTGCTCAGAGTGACCCCAAGATGTGTTAGAAAGTCTCTTTTCCCAGTCTGGCGCTTGAAGAAGGAGTCAGGGCTCTTCAGTTCTCATTCTCAAGGTTGTTTATTGTATCTTATCTATAAAATTCTTTCTCCTTTCCAGCCGAGGTTTGCTCAGCAAGACAGTCCAAGACACTCTGGCCACCCCCAGGGCAGTGTTGTTATCTTTTTATACTAAAACCTATGTGTACATTATTTACAATAACTTTCCAATGCCTATCACCTATGTTAGACAGCGAGCTTCTACTCTAAACCAATCTAAAAGTGCCACCATCACAGCAGAAGATGGAGGCCAAGAAGAAGAAGGAGAAAGGCTGGACACACCCAGATTCCTCCATCTTGCCCCCTGAACCCCCATTCTAAAAACCCCAAAATCTACTTTTTCACCCCGTGATAAACTCTCTATCATTCTACTTAATTTGCATTTGCCATGCAAGGCTCAGGTTTTGTCCCATTCCTGCCCCAGCATGGAGCAGGATCCCAGAGCAGCTGGCAGGTGAATTCTGAGAGGTGTCAGCAGCTCCATCCCTGTTGGCACTGATGGTGACAGGAGTGTCACTGCAGCGAGCTCAGGGCTGGTCAATCCCTCTCCAAGGCCTGATGTCTAGACAGGCTGCCAGGCTGAATACCAATGGCTCTCCCAGGGAACAGAAAGCACCTGGAAAATCCAACTTTTTCCCTGCTGCTCTTTTCCAGCTCCCAGTCATTCCCTTCCCTCTTTGCCATCTATTCCCAAAGTCTTGCAGACGAGGATAACCCTCAGCGCTCCGAGCTGGTTCTCAACACCCAATTACCCAATTCCAATGTTGATTCTTTTTCACTGCTTTTCCAGGGACTCTCAGAACTTGATCCCAACCCATCCCTGCTCTCACTTTGGCACAGGGGGATGGCTTCCCTCCAGTGGAAGTGGCCCTGGGGGTGCTGGGTGCCAGGCTGAATACAATGGCTCTCCCAGGGAACAGAAAGCACCTGGAAAATCCAACCTTTTCCAGCTCCCAGTCATTCCTTTCCCTCTTTGCCATCTATTCCCAAACCCCTGCAGACGAGGATCACCCTCAGCGCTCCGAGCCTGCTCCCAACATTACCCAATTCCAATATTTATTTTTTTTCCCCCTGCTTTTCCAGGGACTCTCAGAACTCGATCCCAGCGTGTCCCTGCTCTCACCTTGGCACAGGGGGATGGCTTCCCTCCAGTGGAAGTGGCCCTGGGGGTGCTGGCTGCAGGTGGAGGTGCTGTGTCCCACCAGGCGGTAGCCGGCGTCGCAGCCGAAGCGCACGGAGCTGCCGGGGCGCAGCCCGGAGTGGCTCAGGATCATCCCGTGGGCTGGGGGCTGGGGGAGGCTGCAGTAGGGAGCTGGCAAGGAGGGCAGGGAAAAGAAAACCAGTCAGCAGCAGGGTCATTCCCTTCCCACTCCCAGGAATTACACCGAGCTTCCCCAAAATCCCCAAAACAAAAATCGGCGATGGATAAACGCGGAGTCGAAGCAGGGATGGAGCACGGGGCTCTGATCTGAGCCTCAGCCAGCTCCAGGAATAAGGAGTCATTCCTGGTAATTGAATATTCCTTAATTCATTTGCTGAGAAAAGCCTGGACAGACTTTTCCAGTGCCTGGCCACCTCCTCATCCAGAAACCTTTCCCAATATCCATTCCCTGGCATCAATGACTCTCCACATCAGGCTTCTGGTTCTGAGGAGTGGTTGGGAAATGAGCCAAAGCTCCAAGGTTTCTCCCTGGAATTTCTCCTGACTGTGATCCCACAATCCTGATTGTTACAGATTGGTTGAGACTGAGCCAAAGCTCCAAGGTTTCTCCTGGACAGACCCTGCCTTTCCCAACCTCCCAACTTGGAACGTGCCCGGCTTTGTCCCTTCCCTGCCTTGGCAGCTCCTGCCCTGCCAGCTGGATCTCTGCAGGAATCCCACGGATCCTCCCGGCTCTGGAGCTGCTCCTGCTGCTGGCAGAGGCAGCTGGGACTCACCAGAGTAGCGGATTTTGAAGCCTTTCCTGTTGTAGGCATGGTCGGAGGACCAGCGCAGGAAAACGCTGTTCCCGCTGCTGGTGACGGTCAGAGGGGCTGAGTAATTCCCACTGAGGGACAGCAGCAGGGGGCTCTGCCCTGAGGGACCTGCCAGGAACAGGGGACAGGGAAAAGGGACAAGTCACAGTGTGGCATTCACATTTTTTTGAAAAATCCCAGGATTTTTCTCCTGGGAAGCTGAGAAGCCTCAGAGAAAAAGGAAAATAATAATTCTCTGATTTGCTTCGCCTGTGTTTTCCTCCATTGGAATGTGTTTAAAAAGGAAAACAATTCTTTTCTTATTTGCTTCTCCTGTGTTTTGCTCATCTGGAATGTGTTTGGAGATTGTTTACCCACAGGTGATTGTTTCATTGATATCTGCTGTGAGTTGTTTTCACTTTTTGGCCAATCAGAGCCAAGCTGTGTCAGGACTCTGGAAAGAGTCACGAGTTTTCATTATTATCTTTTTAGCTTGTAAGTATCCTTTCTGTATTCTTTAGTATAGCTTAGTATAGTATTCTTTAATATAATATATATATAATAAAATAATAAATCAAGCCTTCTGAAACATGGAGTCAGATCCTCATCTCTTCCCTCATCCTGGGACCCCTGTGAACACCGTCACACCCAACTCCTCCCCCTTGGAAAAATCCTTCAGATCCATCCCAAAAAATCAAATTGCAGCTGTTTCCTTATGCCAGGAATCAGTGAGGAACTTTCTGGAAGGCAAGCAGGAGTTTCCAGGTGGGAAGCTGGCCCTGGAATGCTCCTTCCCCCTTGACTGGTTGGGATCATGGAACCCCAGGAGGATTTGGGATGGAAAGGGGAGGGAATCTCTCACCATCAAAGATTTCAAACTCATCGAACTGCTTCTCGCTGAGGAAGTACTCGATGGTGAGGGAGATGTTGTAGCCTGGCTCCACCTTCACCACCCAGGAGCAGGTCTGGAAGTGGGGGTAGCTCCCCAGGAAGCTCTGGCTCAGGATCACCCCGGTGGAATCCGTCATCAGCTGGTTCATGGGGCAGTGCACTGGGGATGGAGATGGACATTCAGTGGGAATGAACATTTTTCAGAGGAAGGATGGAAGCACAAGGGGTCTGTCCTGATGAGCCAGCTCAAGGCAGAGCACGACCCCTGCACTCCTTGATCCCTGGGGCTCAAAGAATCCCCAAATCCCAAAAATCGTCACACTTAAGGAAAGGAGCAAAAAGCAGCAAAGCCAACTAACCATTCCCACTGCTTTGATCCCTGGGGCTCAAAGAATCCCCATATCCCACAAATCCCAAAAACTGTCACACTCAAAGAAAGGAGCAAAAAGCAGCCAACAAACCATTCCCAATGCCTTGATCCCTGGGGCTCAAAGAATCCCAAAATCCCACAAATCCCAACAATTTTCTCACAGGAACAAGAAGCAGCAAAGCCAACAAACCATTCCCACTGCCTTGATCCCTGGGGCTCAAAGAATCCCAAAATGGGATCCCAAACTGGACATGAGAACTCCAATTCCTGCTCAGGGAGGGTCTCACTCCCTCCTCCCAAAAATCCCACACTCCTAAAAACGGGAAAATGAATCCCAAGGATGAAAAATGTGCCAACAAACCTCCCCCAGCTCCTTCCCTGAGCAGGGAAATGTGGGATTTATGGATTTTTTACCTTCACAGGTGGGTGGGGGTCCCTCAAACTGCAGGTGGGTGCCCAGTTTGCAGGTGAGGATTTCGTTCCCAATGAGGGTGAAGCCAGGGAGGCAGCGGTACCTGACAATGTCACCTGGGAAGGGATGGAAAACAGGGATGGGAGGGGGAAATGCAATTAAAAAACTGGAATGAGGATGAGGAGGATGAGGGAAGGCTTTACCAATGTTGAACTCCTCGTTCTCTGTGATGATCTCGGCATTGGGAACCATGGTGGGAGGCTGGCAGCGGAAAAGCTGGAAAGCTGGAAAGCAAGGGAGGAGCAGAACATCATGAACACAGCCCTGATGGAAGCAGGGAAATTCCTCCCTTTCCACCAGGAAATTCTCCTTTTTTTATAAGGAAATTCCTCCCTTTCCACCAGGAAAATCCTCCCTCTCCATTAGGAAATTCCTCCCTTTCCACAATGAAATTCCTCCCTCTCCATAAGGAAATTCCTCCCCTTCCACAATGAAATTCCTCCCTTTCCATCAGGAAATTCCTCTCTCTCCATTAGGATATTCCTCCCTCTCCACCAGGAAATTCCTCCTTTTCTATAAGGAAAATCCTCCCTTTCCACAAAGAAATTGCTCTTTCCCCACAAGGAAAACCCTTCTTTTCCACCAGAAAATCCCTCCCTTTCCACCAGAAAATTCCTCCTTTTCCACAAGGAGATTCCAGGACTAAAAACTTCCTAGAAAAAAACTGGTTTGAAAGACTTAGTGGAAAAAAAAAAATTGAGCTGAAAAACTTCCTGGAAAAAAATTGGTTTGAAAAATTTTGTGGGGGAAAAAATATAAATGGGCTGAAAATCTTTCTGGAAAAAACTGGGCTGAAAAACTTCCTAGAAAAAACTGGTTGGAAAGATTTTGTGGGAAAAAAAATGGACTGAAAAACTTCCTGGAAAAAACTTGGTTTGATAAAGTTTGGGGGAAAAAAGTGGGCTGAAAAACTTCCTGGAACAAAACTGGTTTGAAAAATTTCATGGAAAAAGAAACTGGGCTGAAAAACTTCCTGGAAAAAAACTTGGTTTGATAAACCTTGTGGAGAAAAACTCGTCTGAAAAACTTCCTTGGGAAACCCAGCCTGAAAAACCTCATTAAAAAAAAAAACTGGGCTGAAAAACTGTGGAAAACTCGGGATAAAAGAGTATTTTTTTTGCATATTCCCAGATCTATTCCCAATATTCCCAACATTTCCCCCCCCCAAGGGAAGCAGCAGCTCAGACCATAGAAGTAGATGGCGAAGATGCCCCCGTTGGCGCCGTCGCTGTGGAATTTCAGCAGGACCTGGTTGGAGGAGCTCTGGGCAGATTTCTTGGCTGAGTTGCCTGTGAACACCCCCAGCTGTGGGGCTGTTTGCTGGGGCCCGTCCCTGATGGCAGGAACACAAGGAAAAATTGATTTTTCCAAGGATTTAAGCCTAGGAACCCAACCTAGGCTTTCCTTCCCTTTTCCCGCATCCACATTTCACAACCCCTGCTCCAGTTAAACCCCTACAACTTCTCCTGGCTCCCAGCTGGACAATCAGAAACACAAATTTCACTTTTAACCTCAAAAACTGAGGAATTAGGACCTGTTTCCCAAAGGAATTTCACTCCCTGTTTGCCCAGCAAATAATGGATTCTGAATATCCCCTCCAGAATACCAGGGGATATTCTGAAGGTCAGACTTTGAGTGCCAAAAGCTCAAACTTTGGTCACAAACCCTTTAATCAGAGTGGCTACCTGAAGCTGATAATCTCCATTCTTAATAAATAATGGAGATTATCATTATAAATAATATTTTTATTTATTCATATTGAAAGAAAGCTCAAAAAATTTTTAATTTCTCTTCTCTTCTCCAAAACACCAGAAGCTCCCAGCTTGCAAAGGGGATCCCAGGGGTCCCATTCTCAGTTGCTGCTGCTTCAAAGCCAGGATTATTTCCCAAAATGAGTCCTTGGAGTGACCCCCTGCACCCACCAGACAGTGATGAAGTCGTTGTAGGGCTCTGTCTGCAGCAGGGTGAAGTTCAGGTGGATCCCATATCCCACGGGCACTGTCAGCAGCCAGGTGCAATCCTGGGAATTTGGGTACTGGTTGGGGAAGCCAGGAGAGTAAACCGTCCCATTCTGGGCTGTGACATTGCCCCCACAAGGCACTGCAGGGAAGCAGAGAGAAACACAAACCCAGTGAGGAAATATCCCCTTAAAACATCCTTATATCCCATTTTTATTCCTTTTTTTTTTTTTTTTGTACAAAAGTAACAATTCTGCATACAGAAAAATCCAGATTTTGTCCTAACTTGCCTGAAATAATTCCTCTCTGCTGCAAGCACTGAAAGAGCAGCTGAGGATTCAGCTCTTTGTGTTCTCTGGGGTTCAAGGACTTACAAGAGGGCAAATATCACCTCTCTCCCTCCTTGCACAGCTCCTGCAGAGCCAGTGCTGGCATAAAGGTCAGTGCTCCTGGGAAATGGGCTGGGAAATCTTCAATAAGCAGCTCTGAACTTCTCAAAGGTTCACCTGAAACCCTTCTGGAAGCAAATCCCACAGAATTCCGGCCAGCAGCCCGAGGGGTGAAAGGCTGAAACAGCCATGAGGGGGGGGGGGAAAAGAGAATTTGGATGAGTTTGGATGCCTGGATTGTGAATCTTCAGCCTGCAGAGTCCTCTGAGCACAGCTTTCAGAAGAAAAACCACCTTGGAAGATTCCTGAGGATCTCCCACCTGGATCATTCAGGAGATACCCATGAAGGAGGCAGACAGGGACACACCCAGAGTCCTCAGAGCTGCAATACTCTTTTATCAGTGATTATTTTTATTTATCAGAGCTAGATCAATGGAAGCTGGGTGTTGTTGAGGGAATAAAGCAGCAAGGAATTATCACTCCAAGGCCCCTGGACTGTGCCATACAGAAATAACAGCTCCAGCAGGAAGGTGAGACACAGATTCTCCTCAACCGCACCCCAAGACTCAAACCCCTTGAAACACCCCAAATATTCACCAAAACACCTCATGGAGACCACATTTCCTTCCAAGAGCTCATTCCCATCCACACCTTTGCTCCCAGAGCAATCCCAGCCCATCCCAAGGAGCTGAAGTGCCATGCCCAGGTGAGCCCAGGCCGTACCTTCACACCTGGGCAGGGGGTGATCCCAGTTCCTGTTGGTGCTCAAGACTCCCCAAGACCCCCATCAGAAGCTGCCAAAACACCCCAAATATTCACCAAAATACCTCATGGATCCCTCCAAGAGCCCATTCCCAGCCATGTCTTTGCTCCCAGAGCATCCCAAGGAGCTGAAGCGCCGTGCCCAGGTGAGCCCAGGCCGTACCTTCACACCTGGGCAGGGAGTGATCCCAGTTCCTGCTGGTGCTCAAGACTCCCCAAGACTCAAACCTCCCTCAGAAGCTGCCAAAACACCCCAAATATTCACCAGAACACCTCATAGATCCCTCCAAGAGCTCATTCCCAGCCACACCTTTGCTCCCAGAGCAATCCCAGCCCATCCCAAGGAGCTGAAGTGCTGTGCCCAGGTGAGCCCAGGCCGTACCTTTACACCTGGGCAGGGAGTGATCCCAGTTCCTGTTGGTGCTCAAGACTCCCCAAGACTCAAACCTCCCTCAGAAGCTGCCAAAACACCCCAAATGTTCACCAAAACACCTCGTGGATCCCTCCAAGAGCTCATTCCCAGCCACACCTTTGCTCCCAGAGCATCCCAAGGTGCCCAGGTGAGCCCAGGCCGTACCTTCACACCTGGGCAGGGGGTGGTCCCAGTTCCTGTTGGTGCCGTGCTGGCAGGTGAGCACGGGGTGCCCGATGAGCTGGTAGCCAGGCAGGCACTCGAAGGAGATGGACTGGCCGACGTTGTAGCCAGCTCCTCTCACCACGCCGTTGGCAAAGGGCTCCGGGTCGGGGCATTCCTGCAGCTCGTAGGCTGGGGAAACACAATGGGAATTTGTGTTTGTGTTTTATTTCTCAGGGAAAAAGGGACAGGGCAAGGAGAAATGGTCTCAAGCTGTGCCAGGGGAGGGGCAGGATGGAGTTCAGGAGGAATTTCTCCATGGAAAGGGTTGGAAGGGGGTGCCCAGGGAGGTTTGGAGTCAACAACCATGGAGTTGACTCAGCAACCACAGAGTTAACTCAGCAACCATGGAGTTAACTCAACAGCCACTGAATAAACTCAATAACCACAGAATTAACTCAGCAACCATGCAGTTAACTCAACAAGCATGGAGTTAACTCAACAACCACAGAATTAACTCAACAACCACGGAGTTAACTCAGCAACCAAGGAGTTAACTCAACAACCATGGAATTAATTCAACAACCATGGAATTAACGGAATTAACTCAACAATCATGGAATTACCTCAACAACCATGGAGTTAACTCAACAACCATGGAGTTAACTCAATAACCACTGAATTAACTCAACAACCACTGAATTAAATCAACAACCACGGAGTTAACAAACACGGAGTTAACTCAACAATCACAGAATTAACTCAACTCAACAGCCACGAAATTAATTCAACTCAACAACCACAGAGTTAACTCAACAACCATGGAATGGGCTCAATAACCACAGAATTAATGGAATTAACTCAACAACCATGGAGCTAACTCAACAACCATGAAGCTAACTCAACAACCATGGAGTCAACTCAACAACCACAGAATTAACTCAACCACCACAGAGTTAACTCAAGAACCGCCACCCCCGGGGCAGGGCTGTCCCTGCTCACCCTGGTACTCCAGCTTGAAGCCGGGTTTGTTCTGGGAGTGGTCGCTGTGGAAGTACACGGTGGTCTCGTGGGAGGTGGAGAGCAGCGAGCCGGGCAGCTCGGCGCCGCTGAAGCGCCCGATGACGCTGCTGGTGTCGTAGGGCCCGTTCCGGATCTCCACAAAGTCGTGGTTGGGCTCCGTGGAGAAGTTCAGGAACTGGATGTGGGCACCTGCAGAGGGGGAAGGAGGAGTTGGGCTCTAAAATTGCAGCTGAGGTTTTGCACCGGCACCAGCTCCAACAGCAGCACTAATCCCAGCTCCAATCCCAATACCAAACCCAGCTCCAACATCAGACTAACTCCAACTCCAAGACCAGCACCAACCCCAATATCAGCACCAACCCCAGCTCCAATAGCAGAACCAACCCCAACACCAGCATCAACCCCAGCTCCAATCCCAATACCAAACCCAGCTCCAACCCCAGCTTTAAGCCAGCTCCAACAGCAGCACCAACCAAAACATCAGCATCAACCCCAGCTTCAATCTCAATACCAACCCCAGCTCCAACCCCAGCACCAACCCCAGCACTAACCTCAGCTCTAACAGCAGCACCAAATGCAAGATCAGCACCAACCATGGCTCCAATCCCAATACCAAACCCAGTTCCAATCTCAACCCAAAAGTCAGCACCAACCCCAGCTCCAATCCCAATACCAAACCCAGCTCCAACACCAGCATCAACATCATTACTAACCCCAGCTCCAACAGCAGTACCAACCCTGGTCCCAACCCCAGCTTTAAACTCAGTTCCAACCCCAACATCAGCACCAACCCCAGCTCTAACCCTGGTTTCAATCCCAACACCATTCCCAGTTCCAATCCCAGCTCCAACCCCAACCGCAACATCAGCTCCAACCCCAGCTCTAACCCTTGTTTTAATCCCAATACCAATCCCAGCTCCAACCCCATCACTGCCCACCTGCACAGCCCAGGACACCCTGGGCACTCAGCAGGACTTCAACTGCCCTGGGGACACAGGGCAAACCCTCAAACTGACACAGAGGAGCTTTGGAGTGGAGCTTAGGAAGGAATTCCTCCCTGGGAAGGTGGGGAAGTCCTGGTTTAGGGTGCCCACAGCAGCTGTGGCTGCCCCTGGATCCCTGGCAGTGCCCCAGGCTGGGGCTTGGAGCACTTTGGGATAATTTCCCTGGCAGGGAGTGGAATGAGATGATCTTGAGGTTCTTCCCAACCCAAACCAGTCAGGGATTCTCTGATTTTTCACCCCCTCTTCTGCGATGGCACCGACCCAAACCCATCTCTCTCACCAAACCCCACAGGCAGCAGGATCCTCCACGTGCAGTCCAGGTTGCTGGGGTAATTTCCCGGGAATCCTGGGCTCAGGAGCACTCCTTCCATCTCTTCTGCTGTTCCTCCACACTGGGCTGGAAGAACAACAGGGTTCATGGTCAGGATCCAGTCACAGGATCCCTGAGGGGCTTGTCTGGGTGAGGGCCATGGGAAATGAAGGAATTAAAGACTCAGCTGAGAAAAAGGAACCAGCACCAAGTTTCCAGGGCCACATCAGGAATGGATGTGCCTTTCTCCTGCCCTTAGGAGATGAAGACTGAGCCCAGGGATCCAGTTTGGGCCACCAGAAATGGAAAGCCAGATGTGAGCAGTGACAGAGGGGATGGACACCTGCTCTGCCCACAGACATTGCACCAAACCAGGCACCAGCACTTCTTGACACCTTCACCAGCTCAAAGAATGACTGTGAAGAAGCTGAGTGATGCTATTCTGACCCCAGTTACAGCCTCTCCATTCCCCTGCCAATCTCTGGGCAGTCTGTCACTGATAAACCCAGCACGGAGTGTTTGCTCGCTGCCTGCAGCCCACTGCCAGCCACGGCAGCACAAAAATATGTTTACAAAAGGCACCACATGAAATTGAAGCACTGACAGCACCTCCTCACACTTATCTGGATGACCTCCACGTGGTCCCAGCAGCAGCACCCAGCTGAATCCAGCCAGGTGTTCTCTAACTCGCTGTGACAGCCAGGCACAGGCTCTTTGTCCAATATCTCATTAGCCCAGACCTGCTCCTAACAAGGTTTCTCCCAGAAGATTTCTCTTTCTTTTCCCTCCTAATGGCTCTTTAATAGAACTGCTGCTGAATTATTTAGGTGCCCAGCAGCTGGAGGAAGCAGGCCAGCAGAAAATCAAACTGTGCTTGGAGCAGGGGCTCTGGTGGGCACAGGGCAGAGCCCCAGCACTGTCACACCCACAAAGGTGACATTCACTCCTCCAGGAGTGGCTCCAGATGTTTTTCTGCCTCTCTGCAGCAGCCTGGCCTTTCCCAAGGAGGGGAAAATACAGGCATAGCCAAAATTCTGCTGGGTTGGGAGGCTGGTGCTGATTCAAAGAACAAAACTTGTGGTTTGGCAGCTTTTGGGATCCTCCTCCATGCTGGGATCTCCCAGCTGAGCCCAAGGACTTCTGCTTCCATTCAGAGCAGCTCCAGGGGAACGGGCCCTTTAGCTCAGTCATTCTCCTGGAAATATCTCTCCATTTATTCCTGGCCTGCAGATCATCAGATAAAAGAACTGTTGGCTCTTATAATTACTTTAAAGCCAAATGATGTAAGCTGGAACAGCAGGAGCCCAAAATAACTGTTAACTAAAGCTATTAAATGCATAAATGTCTCTCTCAGAGCTGCAAAATGTGCAATATGAATATTAAACATCTACATTTGCTAAAAGCAAATGACTGAAAATAATTTTTAAAAACCTCCTGCAAGTTCCATTCACCTCCAGGCCTCTTCCACAGGGAAAATGGAATGTCCAGGCCTGAACATCTGAACAGATCTGAGGGCAAACAGTGACCTGGACAAGTGACCTGTGGACAGCAGAGTGGCCATAGCAAGTTGGGATCCTGGGAGAGACCAGACCCCGGTGAAAGGAGCAGCTTTGGTGGTATCAGACACATCCCACAGAAATAAACCACGCTTCAGATGGAAAAAAATCCTCCAGCCATAAAACCAACCTGCTTCCAGCATGAGGAAATTGGAGGGTTTCCCTTCTGAATGGGGGATAATTCTGTGTTTCACATTTTGTGCTAGAGCCACATCTGTAACATCCAAAACAAAGCACTCCAGGCAGCCCACGGGGACTTCTCAGGCACAATTTCCCTGGCAACCCAATGTTTCCTCACACTTGCAAAACCAACCTGAAATTTCTCTAAATCAGCTCTTTAGCCTTGTTTTATTTTAGGGAAGTGTTATAAATATCAGCCAGGTAGAAAGAAGTTGATTCCTTACCAATGCAGAGGGGTGGAGGGTAATTCCAGCGGCGCACCGTGCCCGGCATGCAGGAGATGTGAGAGTGGCCCTGCAGGGATGGAAAACAAAACAGGGGTTTGGGAGGTGGATGGAAAACAAAGGGGAGAGCCCCTCCGTGTCCTGGAAGGAAAAAATTCCCTGCAAGATGGATCTGATCCAGAGGGAGATGCCTGTTGCATCTGGGGTACCAGAAAAGTGATGCCTTAAAGAATGTAGGAATTAAACAACTGGATTTGGAGATTATCTTTCACACTTGGGGATTATCTTTGGAGATAATAATAGTGTAGGAGGTCATCTAAAGGCTGGTCTTTATTGGAGGAAGATATGGAAAAATGTCCATAAAATGCCCATTCCTCTAAGGGGGGAGTGAATACAGTTGTACAAATTTAGCAAATTAGCATAATTGACAAAAATAATCATAAATAGTGAGGTAATTCAACCACCTCTGAATCCTCTCCCACAGACAGGGACTAAACTTTGTGTCTCCAAGAGCTGGTTTCAATCTTGGAAGAGCCAAGGAAGAACAGGAACCTGGGACCCCCAGCTTGGAGCTCTGGAATGTGTTTTGTCTTTCTGCCTTGGGAAAAGGCAGGGAAAAATACTGGGACTGACCACAAATATAACAACAGAGGTAGAAATAGATGTGTAAAGAATATAGGGAACCCAGAAAAGCAGGAATCCTTCTGGTGATGCTCAAGGACCTGGAACAGAGTTACAGGAATAAAGGAGGGATTTATTAGAAGGTTTTTACAGGAGACACCTTGGGCAGCACAAGGCTGGAGATGGACCCAGGTTGGATCCAAGGTGGACCCTGAGTCACAAAATTTCACACTTTTATAAATTTTGGTCCACTTCCATATGGGGTTAACTGTCCAATTCCAGCTGCAGGTGATGCAGTCCCACCCTCCCAGTTTGCTCCCCTCCATTCCCTGCTGTTTGCACTTTTTGGGGCTGAAGCTGCAGAGGTGTCCTTGGTTCTGGGGCTGGAAATTGATCGTTCTCTGGGACTGAGGAGAGGAAAAGGATTGTTCTGTGTGCTTGAGGAGAGGAAAAGGATTGTTTGTGGGACTGAGCTGTGAGGAGACCTTGCTAAAACACTTTATAAGGAGTTCAGAGTCCCGCCCTGAGGCAGTGCAGGTCTGGAGAAGCAGGGAGCTGGGGCTGGGGCTGTACCTGCAGGGCGTAGCCCGGCTCGCACTGGAAGGACACCACGTCGTTCACCAGGTAGCGCTCGCCGATCTTCAGCCCATTGCCGGGAACCGCGGGCTCCGGGCAGCTGGAGAGACCCACGGCTGTGGGGAGAAGGGAGGTGGGAGCTCAGGGAGTGGGGCTGGGGCTGGGCTGGGGCCTGCAGGGATGGGAACACGCTTTGTGTTCTATCCCGCTCCTGTTTGCCATCCACCACCACAGACTCTGGGTGGGGAAATTCTGTTTATTATGGATTCTCCAGGGACAGCCCATTTCCATCTCCACATTTCCAGCTGGGAATGTCCTGCTGCAAACCCAACTAACAACCTGTGACACCTCGTGAGGAGTAATGGGCTCCCCTTCCCTTCCCTTCCCTTCCCTTCCCTTCCCTTCCCTTCCCTTCCCTTCCCTTCCCTTCCCTTCCCTTCCCTTCCCTTCCTTTCCCCCTTTCCTTTTGTTTCTCCTTTCCTATTCCTTCTCTTTCCCTCTCATTTTCCTTTCCTTTCCTTTCCTTTCCTTTCCTTTCCTTTCCTTTCCTTTCCTTTCCTTTCCTTTCCTTTCCTTTCCTTTCCTTTCCTTCTTTTCTTTCTATAACCCACATCTCTCTCCTTTTCCCACATTTTTTTCTCTCCATTTCCCACATTTTCTCCTCTCCATCCATCTCCCCTCTCCTTCCCCCATCTCCCCTCTGCACATCCCAGGGATATAAAATGAATCCTGCAGCTCCTCTCCATCATAACCTCCTGCATCCCTGCAAGGGCTCCTGCTCCCCACAGAGCCCCAGGCAGGGGGAAAATAAAAGAGAAAAGGAGCAAGGAGAGGCTGAGTCTCCTCCCAAAGCCCAGTCACGCTTCCCTCCCTGCTCCTGGATGTGCTGCTTGACCTTCAGAGAGGCAGCAGGGAAAATGGCTTTAAATAACTTCTCCTTCACATCAGTGCCTTTCACTCAGTCCCAAATTGTTCCTGGCTTTGGAGCATGCAGAGGTAAGAGCTCAGCCTGAGCGCCACAGTGAGGGAGAAACCTGAGTTTTCCTCCCCTGTTTGAGCTCATCTCTCCCAACTTCCTCCCAGAAAAAAACACAGAAAAAAAAAAAAAACCAAACCCAGGGCTCAGGGCTGGGAGATTCCAATTGTACAAACAGAGCAGAAATCACATTATTTCCAGCTGCCCTGAAAATCAACACCTATTAATTTCCTCAGCCAAGGAAACAGACAGGGCTGATAATCCCCAGGCTCATGAAAAACCTGGCCGTGATTTTTGCAGGAGGGTGCTCAAAGGATTTATCGATTGGAATAGAGCTGGAGAAGAAACAGAGTCACAGCCAGAGGATTCCTGCAGCTCCCAGAGCACAGGCTGAGCACATTTTTTCCTCTCCCAATCCTGTGGTGGCTGTAATCCTGCTGGATCCAATAATGGACAGGGTTTCAGTGAGTAAAGGCAGCAAATCCTGGAAGGTTTTAGTGCTGCTTGGCTTTAAAGCAGCTCCAGCTGTGCCATTGCAGGGAATCTCACACTGGTTTGGGTGGGAAGGGTCCTAAATCACCCAACTCCCTCCAAACAAGCCCAGGCTCACCCTCACCAGCAGCAGAGCTGGGAAAAATCATGGAATATCCTGAGCTGGGACCTGCAAGGATCGTCCACCCCACACCTGGCTCTGCAGGATAACCAGCCCCAAAATGTTTAGGATGGATGTAGGGAAATGTTCTTCTCCCCAGGCTCCCCAGGGAATGGGAACATTCCCAAAAGCTCCAGGAAGTTTTGGACTTCACAGATCATCCATCCCATTCCTGGCTCTGCAGGATAACCCCAAAATGTTTAGGCTGGATTTAGGGAAAGGTTCTTCCCCCCAGGCTCCCCAGGGAATGGGAACAATCCCAAGAGCTCCAGGAGTGTTTGGACAGGGTGGGATTGCTGGGATGCCTGTGCAGGGCCAGGGTTGGACTGGATGATGCTGGTGGATCCTTCCAGCTCAGGATATTCCAGGATTCTCTGCCAGTATTATCCAAAATAACAGGCACCTCCACCTCTCCTGATCAGACATCAGGAATCAAACACAGACCCAGGGGAAAATGAGTTTTTGTCATCCCCATCCAAACCTGACAGCCATTTCCCAAAGGATTCTCTTCCCTGCCTCACTCAGGTTTGTTCTCTCACCACTGGGGATTTCTTTTCGAAAGGATCCTGGCTAGGATCACACATTTAGCCACGTGCTGGGGTCTGTATTCCCAAAAAAAAACTGGCATGAGCCTTGCTGGGAGCAAAGTGCTGCCATTCCAGGAAGAGTTGGGATCATCCCTAACCAGGAACCCACTCAAGTGCTCCACACCACCACAGAATTTGGGTTGGAGGGGACATTAAAGATGTTTTTAAGGTGTTTTTGAAAAGGAGGGGTGCCCACACCACCTCAGAGCTTCCAGAGGTGCCCTTGGACAAGGAGGATGGATCAACCACCTTGGGAATGCTCCTGTGCGGGGCTCTGAGCACACAGCACAGGAATTCCTGGATCCAGCAATGTGCCCAGGGCAGCTCAGGGTGCTGGGCTGTGGGAACAGGAGCACATCCAGCAGGGGAGGGAGGGGAACATCCCCAGCACCCACTAAAACACTGCAGAAACCCCCCCTGATAACACTGATAACAGTGATAACATGGGGTTCAGCTCTCAGCTGTGAGCAGAGCCTGCCCAGGCTCTTTGTGCAAATCCTGCAGTTTTTCCAAGCTCAAGCTCCATCAAAATGCTCAAATTCAGTTTTATCTCCATTCTGACCCTGCTTTCCTCAGGGGATGACCTCTGAGGACTCTTCCAGCCAGGATTTTTGGGATGAGGACATATCCAGACCTGCTGGTTCCAGCAGGGAATGCCAAGAGCTGGAAGTCCCTGGCAAGCAGCACTTCCCAAACCCAGATCCCAGCCTTGCACCCACGGATTTTTTAACCCTTTGTGCCACAAAAAACTGCCACCAGGCTCATCCCACCCCTCTGCTCCATCTTTCCTCTATTTATCACTCCCTCCTTGAGAGCAGGGAGCCACAGCAGCTCCTTCCCCCATTTCCCCAGCCCTGCAGGCACCTCCCCATCGCGCAGGAGCTGCGGGATCAAGGCTGGAGCTGCTCTTACTTTTGTATTCCAGGTGAAAGCCGGCGGCAGAGACGCTGATGTCGGAATAGAAATGCAGATAGAGCTGGTTTGAAGTGCTGTTGAGCAGAGCAGGCACCGTGGTTCCTGGCAAAACAAGGGGAGCACAAAGGCAGGGGAGAGTGTGAGAAATGCCTGTTTGATGACTGGCTTTTGGCAAATATTCAAATGGATGGTATATGGGTTGTGTTGGAAAGTGATGCTGGATTAATTCTCTTCAGTAGTGTGCTAAATATAGTTTTAGGTTATAACAAAATGTTAAAATAGAAACTAAGCTATGTAAGATATTTTTTTAAAGAAAGGACTTGCAATGAGATAGCAGCCACAGGACACCTCAATATTTCAGAGAAAAATAATTTATTGGTCCATTATCAGAAGAAATCAAATTCTTCCTGACTGCTCAGCCATGAAGGTGCCGTCAGGATTCAGAGGAAGAAGTTGGCACTGACCACACAGAATCCTGTGTTTGAACGGAATTTATGCATCATGGATGAGATGTATGAATATGCAACAGGTTATTGTTTTTAAGGGTTAATCCTCTGTTAATGTGGGTCCTTTTTTCGGGCTTATTTTGCCCAGAAAAGATACCCAGACTGTTCATAACTCTTTGTTTTTATTGTCTCATATTGTCCTAATCCAAATTGTCCAACACTTTTATTACTCTAATTATATTACTATTTTTATAACCATTTCGTTACTATTTTTATTATCTGTAAAATAAAACTTTAAATAATAATATTATATATTAATACACATTATTAATATATAATATAATATTATGTATAATATATAACATATGTATTATATAATAATATATTACTATTTTATATTAATATATTATACATTATATATCATATATTATATATCATATATTATATACTATATATTATAGACAATATATTTTATTATAATAGATAAAATATATTAGAAAAATAATTATATAAAATATTATTTTAATATTTAATGATACATTTACTATTAAACTTTTAAAATGTTAAAAACAACTGATGGGCATTTTTCACAGAGAGGATCTCTCTCCCCCTCCTCAGAGATTTCCTGACAACACAAAGTCCTTCCAACTTAATGAGCTCCTCTTGGTTTTGATCAGGTTCTTTCTAACGAGGCCAATTGAGAAATACCCAGGGCCTTTCCTGAAATCCTTTCCTGGATTTCAGCCCCTGGAGCTTGGCCACCGACAGACAAAAAGCACCAAGGGATGGGAAACAGCGTGGGTGGAGCGCAGGTCTGGGAAAATTCGGGAAAATTTGGGAAAATTCGGGATTCCTTCATCCCCTGGAAGCTGCTGCAGCAGCAGGACAAGGCAGCTCCATCCCAGACCCTTCTCCTGCCTAGCTCAGGGCATTTTGGGCACATTTGTTAAATAAATGAGGTTTTGGGCCATTGTTCTGCCAGTGGTGCTGAATTTGAAAGGCTCTCAAAGCTCCTGGAGCCTGCTCTGCTAAAAGCCACAATTCAAAGAAAAACACAAGGATTCCAAAGGAAATACAAAAATTCCAAGGAAAAATAAGAGTTTGTTTTGTAGCCTTTCACCCTTTCTGGGGGACATCAAGGTCAGGTCACCTTGCCAGGTGTGGTGGCCTCACATCCCAGCAGAGCTGAGGGAATTCCCATTTCCAGGAATAAAACTCCACTGGTTTTGTGTTTAAGGCTCCCTCTCAACCCTTCCCACAGGTAGAAATTGGAATTGTAATTCCCAACCCAACAGAGCACATGATTCCCTTGAAATCCATTCCTGGCTTTTGATGCTTTTTTAAAGTTTAATTTTGTGAGGTGAATGAAATGAGGCAGGAACTGATGGGCTCGAGGGCCACGTACCAGAGAAGCTCCCCAGCATGGTGGCTGTGTTGTCTCCTCCATCAAACACTTCCAGGGAATCCCAGTTCTGCTCTGTGACAAAACTGATCACCTGGATCTGCAGAGAGAAACAAAACAAAGGAAAAAAAATTTGAAATAATAGGAATAAATCAAATTAACAGCAATTAAAGGGTCACTAATTGAGTTTACACACTCCGAGGGTTCAACACTGGCAAAATTTGGAGAATTCTGCCTTTGACTGTTCCCACTGGGATTTTCCAGCTATTTTTCCCCCAAAACTTCCAAATAGAAATGTTATTTTCTGCTGCTGCTCCAGAGCTCCTGGAACTGCCCAGCTCATTTACAGCTGCTGAAAATCCCAGCTTTTTTCCCCCATTTGGAGAAATCCTTGAAGACTTTGAGCCCTTTCAAATGAGAGCAACCAGCAGCACCCCGGAGATAAAATAAACCCAAAAACCACCTCACATTAAACAACAGGATTTTAAAAATCCAATCAAGTTCCAGCCTTGTTCCTCAGCTTTTAGAGGGATCACTCGAGTGCATTTTCAGATTTCACCTTTCCCTGCCATGCCCCACAAGGTTTGGAGGCCTTAGGAAGTCACTTGGCTCCATTAGTTGGAACAACAACACAAATCCTTGGATGAGAAACATCAGGAGAGCTGAGAAATCTGCATTTATACAGAAAAACAGAGCTGAAAAATCTGCATTTATACTGAAAAGCAGAGCTGGGAAATCTGCATTTATACCGAAAAGCAGCTCGTGCTTGAGTGAGGATCTCCAAGGAATTGCTCAGCTTTGTTTACCATTAACAAGGATTTTGCCTAAATCCTAAATGCTGATGGTTCAAAGCTTTCAGTGTCCCATTAAAAACCCGAGTTTGGTGAATGGGGTGAGAGTGAGGCAGAAAACCTGGGTAAAAACCACCTGTTTTGGGGAAAATTCAGATTTAAGCTGAAAGGTCTGGATGAAATTTTCCAACATTGGGTATCTCAAATTGAATTGGCAGGCAAAAAACCCCAACAAATCCAAAAGGAATCTCAAAGATAAATCAGGAGCATAAATGAGTTGTACAGCTTGGCTCCAAACAAGGAGAGTGCTGGAAAATTGGGAAAAATGAGCAGTGAGGAGATTTCACTGCCCTCAAACTTTGACTACACACGTGTGAACCTTCTCCCTTTCTCTCCATATCTTCTTCCCTGATTTCCTCATCCACCCCAATTCCCCACTTACCCCTGCCTTGCTGCACAACAAATCAAAACCCCCCGTTTGAAAATAAATAATAAAACCAAAATCAAATAAAATAATAAATAATAAAACCAAAATCAATGCCCCCACTTCAGCCATTGAAGCCATTTCCTCCTTGATTTACTCCGGGTAATAAAACCGGCTGTAAAGTTCCTCCCAAATATTTTTTTTAGCAGAAAGTGAGCGGAGTTCACCCAGCAGGAATCTCAGTGACCCCCACGGAGCCATCACTGACCCTTTTTTCCCTTTTTTCCTGCCTCATTACACCCCTCTCGTGATTTACATTATTGGAAGCTGAGTGAGAATGAGCGTTTTGTTTGCTCTTACACCGCCTAAATTATTTATTCTCCTCTCTCCCCCCCTCCTCCAGCTTAACGGAATAAACATTTTTAAGGTCCTAATTCTAGTCTGACATGTGGATTCACAAGGGATCTGCATCTATTTACTGCCACGTGTATAAATTAATTCACTCAGGAAGGTTTGCTCCGGGAATGAATAATTCATGGCAGAAGTGCCAGCTTCTACCCTGATTACATAAAAATCCTGCTCCTGAGTGCTGTTACCAAGAAAGCTTCAATTTCACCTCCTTCCCTGATTTACAGTTGTTTAACCTTTAATTGTTGCGCAAAAAAGGGGGTAAAGCGATGCTGGAATTAAGATCTAATAATGGAGAACGCAAAGGAAGTGGAGCCAGGATGGATCCAGCTCCAGCTCCGTGGTCATTCCCTCCCTGGGGGCTGCACTGAGACCCCTCCCTGCAGCTGTTTCAGGTCCTGAAAAGCCAAAATCTTTCTCCAAGGGCTTTTTTTGCCTTCCTGGAAGACCCAGGGAAGCTGATGGGTCGTGACCAGGTGACAGCAGATCCTGGTGACATGTGGAAGTGCAGGCCTTAGCACTGGTGGGGGACCCAAAAATGTGGGATCAAAGAATTTTAAGTTTGGGATGGATTTTAAAGCTCATGTTGTTCCAAAATCTCTGCTGTGGCCAGGGACATCTCCCACTATCCAAGAGTGGAACAGGTTGGAAGCCCTGCTCAACCAGGCCTTGGGCACTTCCAGGGCTGGAGCATCCACAGTCTCATTGGACAATCATAATAAAAAACTACAATTTAACCCAGATTCCCCCTCTTTTGTGCCAGAGTAGGGGTCACACTGAGGGAAGTGGAGCCAGGATGGATCCAGCTCCAGCTCCGTGGTCATTCCCTCCCTGGGGGCTGCACTGAGACCCCTCCCTGAAGCTGTTTCAGGTCCTGAAAAGCCAAAATCTTTCTCCAAGGGCTTTCTGCCCTCCTGGAAGTCCCAGAGAAGCTGATGGGTGACAGCAGATCCTGGTGACATGTGGAAGTGCAGACCTCAGCACTGGTGGGGGACCCAAAGAATTTTAAGTGTTTGGGACGGATTTTAAAACTCATCTCGTTCCAAAATCTCTGCTGTGGGCAGGAACATCTCCCACTATCCAAGAGTGGAACAGCTTGGAAGGCCTACTCAACCTGGCCTTGGGCACTTCCAGGGCTGGAGGATCCACAGCCTCCCTGGACAATCACAATAAAAAACTAAAATTTAACTCAAATTCCCCCTCTTTTGTGCCAGAGTAAGGGTCACACTGAGGGACCACGGGCCTGCTCTTCCTAAATCCCACCCTGTGCCTCCCTGGCAATGCTCCTGGAGCTCTGGCATCCCTGGGGCTGTGCCCATGCCCTGGGGACCCTGGCAGTGCCCAAATACCCTCTGGGGGAAGGAGAACCTTTCCCTAAATCCAACCTGCCCCTCCCCTGGCACAGCTCCTTGCCTGGTCACAAGCTGCAGCCGTGGTATTTTCTGAAAAATCCTTTCCTTAGGATTTTTCCTCCTGAGAAGCTGAGAAGCCTCAGGAACAAAATGTAAACAATGATTATCTGCTGCTGTGGAATGCAACAGGTGCATCTGTGATTGGTCTCATGTTAATTGTCTCTAATTAATGGCCAATCACAGTCAGCTGGCTCAGACTGTCTGTCCAAGACAGAAGCTTTTGTCATCATTCCTTCTTTTTCTATTCTTAGCTAGCCTTCTGATGAAATCCTTTCTTCTGTTCTTTTAGTATAGTTAATAGAATAGAATAGAATAGAATAGAATAGAATAGAATAGAATAGAATATATATCATAAAATAATAAATCAAGCCTTCTGAAACATGGAGTCAGATCCTCATCTCTTCCCTCATCCTAAGACCCCTGTGAACACCGTCACAATAAACGTCACCAATGAGTCCCTGCCTAATCCTGGCTATAAATAAATAAATCCCTGATTCCAGAGAATTCCACATCAACCCATCCCTGTCCTACGAGGAACAGCAATTTCCCATCATGTGAGAGCAGCACACCCCGAGTGTCCTGCTGTCTGTCCTGGCTGTACCTGGATCCCTGCTCCCTCGGGCACTGTGATCTTCCACACGCAGTTGAGGCTGTTCAGGTAGGGCTCAGGGAAGCCTGGGGACAGGATGGTTCCTTTCCTCTCCGTCAGGTTCCCCCCGCAGGGCACTGCCGGGAGGAAAGCACAAGGAATTGGTTTTGCTAAAAAAAAACATTGTTAAAATTACAAGAAATCGAGAGCTGGTTGTGATTTAAGGATGAGATTTTAGGAATAATCCTCTTTCCAGTAACTTTTTCGTGCAACTTTTGGCACATTCCTTGGGTGTGGGGAGCACACGAGGATGATCTTCATCCTCTCCTTCAGAGGATGTGAAAGCAGCTTTCAGCCAGATCTGATTTATTTGAGATGCTGTCCCAGATCTCACAAGAGTACTGGATCAAAAATGTCAATTCCCTGGAATTTGGGGTTAAACTGTTCTTATTCAGAGCCAGGCTGGGCTTTGTTTTTTATCAGACAACCATGGAACAGTTTGGGTGGGAAGGGACCTTAAAGATCCCCAAATCCCTTCTCCCAGACACCTTCACTATCCCAGATTGTTCCAATCCCTGTCCAACCTGGCCTTGCACACTTCCACGGATGGGACAGCCACAACCTCTCTGGACAGAACCACAAGAGGTTCTAAAGAAGTCTTGAACATTTCATTCATTTACATTTCAATTCATTAGTGCTTTGTTTTGCTGTTGATTTTTCTTCAAGCTGGAAGAGACCCACAAACACCACCAACATCCAACCCCTGTCCCCTTTCAGGACAACCCAGAGAGCAGCACAGCTCCCAACAACATTCCCAGTGCCACCCACCCTGCTCCCACCTCTCCCAGTGCCACCTACCTGTTGCTATAGGAAATAAAATGATGTGAAGGTAAAAAGAGAGCTTTTCATTTCTGATTCTAACATTTATAGATTTCCAAAAGTGGCAGTGTACTGGAGGGTGGAAGAGCCACCTCTCCAATGACACTGGACACACCAACAGCCCATCAAATTTCTCCTCTTAAAATAAAACTCCGTGGACACGCTGCTCTTTTCAAGGTAAAAAGAGAGCTTTTAATTTCTAACAGTTATAGATTTCCAAAAGTGACAGTGGATTGGAGGGTGACAATGCCACTTGTCCAATGACACTGGACAAACCAACAGCCCATAAAATTTCTCCTCCTCCATAAAAGAACGCAGAACAATAATTATTTACATAAAGCGCGCGACAAGAACGCAAACACCAGAAAACTCAGAAAAACTTTAAAAAAACCAAGGTGGCACCTACCCATGCAGGTGGGGACGGAGGAGTTCCACTGGGCCAGGGCCCCGGGCATGGCCAGGCACTGGATGGCAGGGGAGCCCCTGAGGCTGTAGCCGGGGCTGCACTCGAAGCGCACCAGCGCGCCCACGGCGAAGTCGCTGCCCAGGCGCCGGCCGTGCCACGGCTCCGGCACCGAGCTGCACTGCGTGGCGCTGGTGCGGGGCACGGCTGGCACACAGGGAGGACACAGGCAAAACAGAGTTAGTGCTGGCAGGGAGATGGTGGAGAGAAGATTTGTCTGTTTTACACTGGAATTACTGAGCGTCTGAATGCGGAGAGGTGCTGGGTGCAGACTTGACTGTTGAGTGATTGTACCCAAAGCCTGAAGTGTCAGGGGGGGAATCCAAACATGATTATTGAATGATTGTACCTAAACCCCAAAGTGTTTAAATCCCAAAGGGTGGCTGAATCCAAACTTGGCCATTGGCTGATTTATCTAAACCCCAAAGAGGGGCTGAATCCAAACACAACCATTGACTGATTGTACCTAAACCCCAAGGAGGGGCTGAATCCAAACGTGACCATTGACTGATTGTACCTAAACCCCAAAGTATCTAAATCCAAAGGAAGGGCTGAATTCAAACTTGGCCACTGACTGATTGTATCTAAATCTCAAAGTATTTAAACTCCAAGGAGGGGCTGAATCCAAACTTGGCCATTGACTGTTCCTAAAAATCTAAAGTATTGGGGCTGAATCCAAACATGATCATTGACTGATTGTACCTAAACCCCAAAGTATCTAAATCCCAAAGGAAGGGCTGAATTCAAACTTGGCCATTGACTGTATCTAAACCCCAACGAGGGGTTGAATGCAAACTTGACCATTGACTGATTGTATCTAAAAACCTGAAGTATCAGAGTTGAATCCAAACATGACCATTGACTGATTGTACTTAAACCCCAAAGTATCTAAATCCCAAGGAAGAGCTAAATCCAAACTTGGCCATTGACTGATTGTATCTAAAACCTTAAAGTATAGGGGCTGAATCCAAACATGACCATTGACCAATTGTATCTAAACCCCAAGGAGGGGCTAAATCCAAACTTGGCCACTGACTGATTGTATCCAAAACCCCAAAGTATCTAAATCACAAAGAGAGGATGAATCCAAGCATAACCACAACTTGATTTTATTTAAATCCCAAAGATTGGCTTAATCCAAGCATGACCATTGACTGATTATACCTAAATCCTAAAGATTGGCTTAATCTAAGCATGACCATTGAGTGATTACTCCTAAACCCCTAAGCATCTAAATCCTAAAGATTGGCTTAATCCAAGCATGACCATTGACTGATCATTCCTAAATCCCAAAGCACCTAAACCCCAAAAGTGAGCTGAATCCAAGCATGACCACTGAGAAGAGAAAAAAAACAACATTTCACTCCCAGTTCTGCCAGCTCAGGTGATCTGAGTTCAAGTGGCTCCATGCCAGACCGAGTGGAGGTGGCACTTGGTGACACAGCTGGGTGGGCATGGGGGCACCTGGATGAAGGTTGGACTTGAAGATCTTGGAGGTTTTTTCTAACTTTAATGATTTAATGATTCTATACTTGAAATAAAAGCAGCTGGGACATCCAGAATCCCCCCACTGCCTCCTTCCAGAGAACTTTCCCCACACCAAAAGGCTGTTTTTACCCAGGGGAACCAAAGGATTTGGCAGTGGCTTCCCAAAACATTGTTTTGTCACCCAATGCAGGAGCCTTTCGGTTCCTCAGCTCCCTGGGCCTCATGGTCATGAAGGAACAGTAATTGGGAAAAAAATCTCCTTTGGAAAAGAGAGAAAAGGGGGATTTAAGTTGTGATGGTGCTAAAATTATTGATTTTCCTGTTGAATACTGGGAATTACAAAGACAGGAATGAGTCTGGCAGGTAAGTGAGGAGAAAAACCCATCAAAAAAACCCAGGTCTATTGCCAAGGAAGAATTCAATTAATATTTTCCTCTGAGTTGCTTTAAATTTATGAGTGTTTAGCTAATTAGAGTCTGGCCAGGCAGATCCAAATCAGGATCGCCCTTTTCCCCTTGCTTCCCGTGCAAGCTCTTGCAGGAGGGAGGAGGAAACCTTCCCTGCTTTCATCAAAACCTTTGTTCTGCTGAGCTCTTTGAAGATTACAATCACAACCACGGCTGTTTCACACTCATTAGGCAGGAATTCAAGAGAACAGATCTCCAACTACTCCAAAATCCAAACCATGCTTTGCTTCACCCCTGCAGAAGGCTCAGGTCAGGTCGTGCCAGTGTCTGTCCCCTCTTTGCAGCACAAGCCTGGATGTTCCCACAGATAACTCCAGGGAGCACGTGGGTGAGAAATCCCTTCTGCTTTCCCACTGTTCCATGCATCATTTGCTATTTACTCCCATAAAATCCCCGAGTTGTTCTCGCCCAGCGCAGCACAAAGCTGTTACTGAAAGGATCAAGGGGCAGCAGTGTGACAGCCCCGAGCCTGTGACACGCACACAGGGAGGATTTCCGAGCTGCCAGACGGGATTTCAGCTGCTTGCACCCAGCGAAAGTGCTAAAAATGCCACTGGGGAGAATTGCTGGGAGATAAATCTCCAAATTCCCTGTGTGACTCCGGGCACGACGCTGGGATGGGGCTGATGGTAATCCTGGGATGTGCAGGGTTCAGGCTGAGTGGGAATGAAAGGGCAGAATACAAAGCACCCAGAGCAGCCCTGCCAGAGCTCTGCTCCCAAAGGAATCCTAATTCCCTGTGATATTCCCTGCTCAGAACCCCCAGACACCAAAAGCAGCTCAGGACACTCAGGACACCCCTGGGAGCGACCCGAGGACACTTCCAGAACACACCTGAACTCACCTTGGTAGACGAAATGAAAGCCTTTGGCTGTGGATTGACCCTTGGAGCTGAATTTGATGAGGATCTGGTTGGTGGTGGCCAATGGCAAAGATTCCCCTGGATGGGGAGGAGGGAAAACAGGAGAGACACAGAGGTGGAGGAATGAGCCACAGAGAGTGGGTGTTGGGTGACAGCTGTGACAAAGCTGCTGTCTCCAGCAGGGACAGGGACAGGGGATAGGGAGCAGCTCCCTACCTGAGTGAGAGCCTGAGAGGGAGCTGAGCAGCCGTGAGTGCTCCGTGGGGCCATCGTGCACCTCCACCACGTCATTGAGCGCCGTCTGGAAAAAGGCAAACTGCCCGAAGAGCACTGTGGGGACAGGGACAGGGCTGGCACCGGCCACTGCTGTCCCCAGTGCCACCACACTGCCATCCCACTGCTGTCCCCAGTGCCACCATGCTGCTGTCCCCATGGCCATCACACTGCTGTGCCCAATGTCATCACACTGCTGTCCCACTGCTGTCCCCAGCATCACCACGCTGCTGTCCCCAGTGTCATCACACTGCCATCCCACTGCTGTCCTCAGTGCCACCACACTGCTGTCCCCAGCATCACCACGCTGCTGTCCCCAGTGTCACCACACTGCTGTCCCCAGCATCACCACGCTGCTGTCTCCAGTGCCACCACACTGGCGTCCCCATATTGCTGTCCCCAGTGTCATCCCACTGCTGTCCCCAGTGCCACCACACTGCTGTTCCCAGTGCCACCACACTGGCGTCCCCATATTGCTGTCCCCAGTGTCATCCCTCTGCTGTCCCCAGTGCCACCACACTGCTGTTCCCAGTGCCGCCACACTGGCATCCCCATATTGCTGTCCCCAATGTCACCACACTGCCATCCCACTGCTGTCCCCAGCATCACCATGCTGCTGTCCCCAATGTCACCATACTACTGTCCCACTGTTGTCCCTAGTGCCACCACACTTCTGTCCCCAGTGTCATTACACCATCATCCTCACTCAATCCCAGTGCTGTCCCCACTGTCATCCCATTGCCACCCCATTGCTGTCCCTACACCGCCCTCCACACCCAGCCTCTGGGGCCAAGGCATTTTCATGGACTCAGAGAATCCCCTGAGCTGAACCAGACCCCAAGGACCGTCCAGTCCAAGCCCTGACCCCCCAGGATTCCCAACATTCCAAACTGGGATTTCTTTTCCCAGCACAACCTCTGTCCTGCGTTTCAGCTGCCTTTATTCCAGGCAGGGAGTGACAGCCTGGAAAAATGGGAGCCTTTTATTTATCCCCAAATTCCAGAGGCAGCACCAGACTCCCCTGGCTTCATTAACTCAACATTTTCCCACTGATTCCCAGCCCACTGGGAATTTCCTGTGGCTCATTACCCTTTCCCTGCCTAGGGAACACGAGGCGCAGAATTCCACTGAGGAATTATAATTATTGATTAGCTGCAATGGACAAAATTGGACAAATCCAGAATTTTCTCTGACTCCAGCACAAAGAGCACCCAACAGCACCTCCTGCTACCTCTCCTGCTACCTCCTCTCCCATCTTCCTTATCTCCAGTTCTGGATGAACTTAGAAAAATTATCATTAAAAACCCAGCAAATAAGAAGAGAATCCCATAAAAATTCCAAGCATGGTACCATAGTCCTTGGGCACGACGATGGAGTACAGGCACACATGGCCACTGGTGTAGTTTTGGGGATAATTTGGGGACAGGACGACTCCATCTGAGCCTGTGTACTGCCCGCCACAGGGAGCTGCAAGGGAAAAGGATCATGGAGCATCCCTGGAGCCTGGAAATGTCCCCAGCCACCATCCCCTGCTCCAGGTGCTGCTGCCTGAAAGTTCTCATTGGAAAAATCAGGTTTATCCCACCCTGAGTTTGTGCTGGAATTATCAAACCACTAACTAATGTGGGATTTGCTCTGTTCCCCACTCACAGCTGGGGATGAGCTCCTTTTGCCACCTTTCCTCAGTTTTTCCTGCCACAGCCTTCCCAAATTAGGGATTTCACTCCTTCCCCCCACCAGCTGCCTCTTGATCCCCTTCTCAGCTCAAATCTGACTGCAAACCATGAAGTCAGAAAAGAAAATAAAATAACCACAGATAAACCCTAAGGAAAAACCCCTTGTTTTGTCACTGAGCTCTGTCCCTGCTCAGCAACACCCAAGACTGAGGGTTTGGATTGGCAAGGATCAGGTTTAGCCAAGGTTTAAGAGGATTCCTGACTCCTGTCCTGTGCCAGGCACTGAATCAGTCATGTCCAGTTTCCTGTCTGTCTCCAAGAAAACCCTCAAGAAAACTCCCCAAAATCAGCTCTTCCTTTAAAAAAAGAGCTGTTAAACCCCTGAAAAACAATGAAATCTAATTCCTGGTAAAACCCCTAAAAAATTATAGAAAAACTGAGAAAACCCCTGTGAATTAACCCCCATTTTTCCATGGAGGATGCATTGAGGGGTCCAGCTCTGGGCAGATCCTCCCCCCAGCCCCTTCCCGTGGGATTTACCTGTACAGGTGGGGCGTGGCTTGTTCCAGGTGGGTTTCCCATCCCCTCCCATCACACAGGTGAGGGTGGGGCCCCCCTCGATGTCGTAGCCCCCATCACAGTAGAAGGTGATGGTGGAGCCCAGCTTCAGGTCTGTGCCCACCCTGGTGCCATTCTTGATGGAGCCTGGGTCAAAGCAGGACTCCCGGGGGTTCTCTGCAGGGAAAGAGATAAAATTTTAAAAAACATATTAAAAAAATGTTAAAAACCAAATTTCCTAGGATTTTTATTCCTCGGGCGCAGCTCCTCTGCTGCTTTGATAAGTGCAATGGGATTTTTTTTAGGATTTTTTTCACCTGAGAATGTGTGGGATTTTCACAAGGACTGGCACCATTTGCAGGGTGTGGATTTGGGATTTGGTTTGGATTCTGGGAGAAGGGAGGCTCCAGTTCCCACCCAGGCACCCAAAATCCAAACTCCCTGTTTTGGGAACCACAGACTGGGGAACCCCCTCTGCCCATCACACATTTGTACCCTCAGCCTTTAAATCCTGAAATCCTGGGTTCCCCTGGGTTCAGTGGGGTCTTGAAGGACCATAAGCCAAATCAAAACTCTGATTTCACACAACCCCAGGATCGCTGAGGCTGGAAATTCCCTTCAGGACCATCGAGTCCAAGCTGCGACCCATCCCCACCCTGTCACCAGCCACAAGGACAAATCATATTTGAGATGGGGAGGAATCTCCATCTGGCACAGAGAAATCCTGGATTCCCCATCCCTGAAGTGTCCAAGGCCAGGCTGGATGGAACTGGGAGCAATCTGGGATGGTGGGATTGTTCCTGCCCATGGATGGGTTTTAAAGTCCTTTCCAACCCAAACCAGTCTGGGATTCTTTCATTTATTCCTTGGACACCTCCAGGGGTGGGGATTCCACCCTTTCCAAGGCCTGGCACCTTTTCCATGCAGAAGTTCCTGCTCATGTCCAACCTGAGCCTCCCATAGCACAACTTCAGGCTGCTCCCTCTCATCCTGTCCCTGTTCCCTGGGTGCAGAGGCCAAACCCCACCTTGCTCCACCCTCCTGGCAGGTAGATAGTGAAAAATTCTCTTCCTGCAGAGTTTAAAATCCCATTTCCACATAAAAACTCCAGAGAACACTACAGAGCTGTCAGGACTTAGATATTTTTTTCCTTCTTCTAACAGCTTTTTTTTGGGGGGGTTTTCTTTTCTTTAATTTTTTTCCCTGCCTGCAATATAATTAGAGGCTTTGATTAATCCTGCTCTTTTGTCATTTGGAAATTGCTCATTAAAGACAAGGGCTTTTCTGAGAGCAGTGGCTCTGGGAACAATTCAAGTGTGCTTAAGCATTAAATCAGGGGCTCTCAGATTTTGGGGAAGGTGTGGAAAGGAGAAACAGGAAACTGTAAAGCCCACAGGTTTTGCTTTTGCTTCTCTGCATGAAAAATCAGGTGATCCCATGGTTTCCTGTCCACAGCAGCTGCACCAGGAGATCCAAATGAATGGGGCACAAAAAGATGGGATTTTCTTTTTCCTCAGAGCATCAATTCCCTGTTTTGGAAGCCACAGATTGGTCAACCCCCACTGCTCATCACACATTTGTATCCTCAACCTTTAAATCCTGAAATCTTGGGTTCTCCTGGCTCTGTGGGGTCTTGATGTACAAATTTGGGACACTTTGAGCACCACTTTTTCTCTTTTCCTGTTTCACTCCTTTCCTCTTCACCTCCCTTTCTCCACCCTCTGCTTTGGGGATGCCAAAACACCAGAATTCCCCCTGGAAGGAGCTTTCCACAGCATCTAGAGCCTTGTTCCAAAGAGGTGGAATAATCTGGGAATAAGTAGAGGGAAAGCCCCAGGTAGCTGCTGGTGGGGTCTTGATGCACAAATTTTGGACACTTTTGAGCACCACTTTTCCAGTTTCACTCCACTCCTCTTCACCTCCCTTTCTCCACCCTCTGCTTTGGGGATGCCAAAACACAATAATTCCCCTTGGAAGGAGTTTTCCACAGCACCTAGAGCCTCTCCAGTTGTTCCAACAAGTGGAATAATGTGGGAATAAGCAGAGGGAAAGCCCCAGGTAGCTGCTGAGCCCCCAGCCCTCACCTGTGTACTCGATGACGAAGCCAGCGTTGCTGACGGAGGCGTCGCTCCGGAACGCCAGGAAAAGGCTGTTGCTGCTGCTCTCGATCCTCTCTGGCAGCTGGGAGCCATAAAAACTCCCAATCAGAGGGCTCAGGGAGTCAGGCCCATCGTAGATGTGCAGGAAATCGTAGCCAGGCTCCAGGCTGAAGCTGCAAAAGCAAAGGAGGAGAGCTTGGGGTCAGGACATATTAGTGGAGAATTCCGCGTTGATGTTCTGGGATGTGGAAACCCGGGGCAGGGACTGGCTGCTCCTGCTCCAAAATCCTGCCAGGCAGAGGAAATTCCTGCCTCTATCCATGTCTGAGGGATCCAGGAGTAGGGATGGAGTCAAGGGGTTGGGATGGGGTTGGTCTCAGAGCTGCAGCTGCTGCAGGGATTCCTGGGCTGTGCCACATCATGTTCTATTTATTTCTGGGGTGGAAGGAATGATGAATCTGACTCCATGTTCTCAGAAGGCTGATTTATTATTTTATGATACTGTATTATATTAAAGAATGCAAACTAAACTACACTAAAGAATATAGAAGGTTAAAGAGATAATAATGAAAACTCGTGACTCTCTCCAGAGTCCTGACACAGTTTGGCCCTAATTGGCCAAAGAGTGAAAACAACTCACAGCAGAATCCAATGAAACAATCACCTGTGCGTAAACAATTTCCAAACACATTCCACATGTGAGCAAAACACAGGAGAAGCAAATCAGATAAGAATTGTTTTCCTTTTTCTCTGATTCTTCTCAGAAGAATCCCGGCCAAAGGGATTTTTGGATTTTTCCAGAAAATATGTGACAATGTTCTGTCTATCAAAGAGGAACTGCAGCTGGAATAAGAGGATCTCCTCCCCAAAAAATGTCTGGGAACAGATTATCCAGGGACATGGGACAGCTCCATCAGATTCCTTCCCAAAGTTCAGACATCCACACCCAGATCCTCCCTCCCCTCTCTGTGGCCATGGCACCAAACCATGCGTCCCCTCCCCAAGGCTATGGCACCAAACCCTTGTGTACTCACACGCTGAACACCAGGGCAATGACATAGTCAGGGGACACTGTCAGCTTCCAGTCACACTCCTTCCCTGGGGGATATGGCTCTGGGTACTGTGGGGACAGGATCACCCCAGCCGGGCCCGTCAGGATCCCGCCACACGGAGCTGCAGGAAAACCACCAAGGGTGAGCCTCTTGTGAAAAATGCGTATTTTATGATCGGCTTTTTGCAAATATTCAAATGAATGTTATATGTGTTGTGTTAGGAAGTAATGCTGGATTAATCCTCTTAAGTAGTGTGTTAAATATAGTTTTAGGTTATAACAAAATGTTAAAATAGAAACTATGCTATGTAGGATACTTTTTTAAAGAAAGGACTCGCATTGAGATAGCAGCCACAGGACACCTAAATCTTTCAGAAAAAAAGAATTTATTGCCCTCTTATCAAAAGAAACTAACTTCTTCCCACCTCAAAGGTGCTGTTAGGATTCAGAGGAAGAAGCTGACACTGCCCAGACAGAATCCTGTATTTGAATGGAATTTATGCATCATGTATGAGGTGTTTGAATATGCAACAGGTTATTTTTTTTAACGGTTAATCGTTTGTTAACTGTGTCCTTTTTCAGGCTCATGCTGCCCAGAAAAGGTCCCCGGACCGTCTGTAACTCTTTGTATTTATTGTCTCATATTCTCCTAATTCAATTTGTCCAAATTATTATTAATTAATATTAATAATTATTATATAGAATAGAATTAATGTTAATTAATTCTAATTGTATTACTATTTTTATAACCATTTTATTACTATTAAACTTTTAAAATTTCAAAAACAAGTGATTGGCGTTTTTCACAATTTAGAGCACGCAGACTTCCAAAGCACCAAATGGGAAGCAGGAATGGAATAAAATAAAGGAGATGTGATAGACAGAGGGGATTGAGACAGCACAGAATCCTTGTGGGGCATTTTAGTGGGAAGTGACCCTGAGGCTCATGTAGGACATGAGGTTGTGGTGGCTCTGCCAGGTGAGGGCTCTGTCAAACACCTCAAAGAGATCTCTGGATGCCACCAGGACCTTCCTAAAATCCATAAGTGAAGAGCCAGGAGGGAGAGAGAGGGAGAAATTCCACTTTCCTGCTGCATTTATGGAAGTCCCTGTCAAGGCCTGCTCGCCCGTAACGAGGTGAAAACACGTCTGGGCCTAAATGGCTCTGTCGTGTTTACTCCACTTCCCAGCACATTAAATGCCAAGCTGATTGAAAAATCAATTATTGCTTTTTTAAGGCTCAAAGTGCCTGCTCGTGTTTCTCACCGTGGCAAAACATGACTGATATTTTTCCTGTCAGTTTTTTATTATGCAGGCTCTTTGTGAGGGCTCGGAGGTTTCCCAGATCGGCCCTCACGTATTTGGGGTGAAAGGAAGGGGGTCTGAGAGCAGATAAAGAGTGGGAAATGAACTGGGATGGGATAAAAATGATGGGATAAATCTTGGAAACATTTTCCATGAAGGAATGAGCATGTGGAATTTGATAAAGAAAAGTATCAGGTAAAACCCAGTGGGGCTTGTCTAGAAATGCCATAGTAGGGATTAGAGAGCTTTTTCAAGTCCAAAAATGGAGAAATGTCATCCTTCTGGGACACACCAGGAAACCACAGCACAGATATGGAAAATTTGGCTGAAAGTCCCCCAAAAATACCTTGGAGAAACCACCAAACTTCCCACATTTGGGATGGAATGAGAGCAGGGAGAGCACAGCCTGTGGGGAGGTCTGAGAGCAGCTACAGAGTGGGAAATGAGCTGGGATGGGATAAAAATGATGGGATAAATCTTGGAAACATTTTCCATGAAGGAGTGAGCATGTGGGATTGTCCTGTGAGCTTTGATAAAGAAAAATATCAGGAAAAATATCAGGTAAACCCCAGTGGGGCTGGTCTAGAAATGCCATAGTACCTGTTAGAGAGCTTTTTCAAGTCCAAAAATGGAGAAATGTTATCCTTCTACTGAAATCACAGTACAGATATGGAAAATTTGGCTGAAAGTCCCCCCAAAAATGCCTTGGAAGAACACACCAGCATCTCTTCTGTGCCCATTCATCCCAATTTTAACCCCAAGGGTGCCTTCCCCTCCCATACTGTAACGTCAGGGGAAAACTCTGCAGAAACTGAAATCTAAGGACTCATTTTTGAAAAGCCTGAGGGAGACAAGTGTTCAACACCCTCGGATTCCTTTGAAAATCCCACCCAGAGTCTCCAAAGGGTTTGAAGCAGGAGCTGGACCCAGCCAGTGGTGCCTGGGACTGGGAGGGATGCAGACTTCAAATGGCCCAAACCTCCCGGGGCTCTCCCAGCCTGGATTGTTTCACAGTGGTGCCACAAAGAGGGGAAAACGCATCTGAAATGCTAAATACCCCCAGTCAGCCCTAAATTTAACACTGAGTTTTCCCAGTTTAGCTCCAACTAGGCTGCCTCTCCCCCAGTTACTGATATTTCACTGATTATTCCTCCAAATCCTTTGTCACTTCATATTAAAATTGGCTGGGAAAAAAACTATAAACAATTGAAGTATAATTTGAAGTACAATTTGAAGTATTAGAAAATCAGCATTTTTAATCACAGCTGTGGAGACCTGAAGGATATTTTTTTAAAAATATTTCTTGATTTTTTAAGATGTGTGGAGTGAAATTTTATAACAGGGTTCAGGATGGATCTGTGTCCATGAATTCAGGATGTGGATCTGTGTCCATTGGTTTAGAACATGGACCTGTGTCCCTGGGCTCAGAACATGGACCTGTGTATATGGGTTCAGGACATGGATTTGTGTCCATGAATTCAGGACGTGGATCTGTGTCCATGGATTCAGGTCATGGATCTGTGTCCATGGGTTTAAAACATGGATCTGTATCCATGGGCTCAAGACAGGGATCTGTGTCCACGGAGTTAAAACAAGCATCTGTGTCCACAGATTAAGCACAGGGATCTATGTCCATGTGCCCAGGACATGGATCTGCATCCATGGGCACAGATCATGGATCTGTGTCCATGGATTCAGATGACAGATCTGTGTCCATGTGCTCAGATAATGGATCTGCATCCCTGGGCTCAGATCATGGATCTGTGTCCATGGATCCAGGTCACAGATCTGCATCCATGGGTTTAGAACATGCATCTGCATCCATGGGCTCAGAACAGGGATCTGTGTCCATGGATTCAGGACAGGGATCTGTGTCCCTGGGCCCAGAACATGGCCCTGTGTCCATGGATTCAGGACATGGATCTGTCCATGGATTCAGGTCGTGGATCTATGTTCGTGTGCCAGGACATGGCCTTGTGTCCATGGATTCAGGTCACAGATCTGTGTCTGTTTCCTTGTGTACCTGTGCAGGTGGGAGGGTCAGGCTGCCAGAAGAACCTGTTCTGGATCTGCACACAGGTGATCTGGGCCTCCCCTTGCAGGCTGTAGCCGGGGTTGCACTGGAAGGTGATGGAGTCCCCGGCCTCCCGGCTGTCCCCGCTCCGGCTCCCGTTCTGGGGGATTCCTGGGTCGTTGCAGGATGTGGCTGTGGACACTGCAGGGAATTAAAAGCACTCCTGAATATCAATGTTTATTTAACACCAGGCCTGCAGCACTGGCTGCCCTCAGGCTCTGTCCTTACCCAGACATCCAGGCCATGCCTTGTTTCCCCATCCCTCCTCCTTCAGCATCCCACAAAGTTCCCCGACACACAAAAAGTGCTTTTCCCTTTGCTCTGAGCATCTGCCACTCCAGCTGGGAAAGGCTCTGGGGACCAGCAAGTTCAAGAGCAGCACCCAGGGAGCAGCTTTGATGTAGAATTGTGCACATGGCTGTTTACTCCATCAGGCCAGACACCCACTGATCCTCCACGGTGCTTTTGGAGAGTTCTGTGCCAAGGCACATGCTGCAAAATCAACTCAGCCACCAGCACTTCACGCTTTCCCCTGAGTGCCAGAGAAATTTAGCCTCAAGATCTGTGAAGCATCAAGCCTGACCTTTCAGAAATGTGTTTGTTTCCTTTCCAGACTTGTTGCTGCCTCTCTTTGAGGTCTGAGATGTCCCCTGAGCTGGGGACAGGCAAAGCTTCGCTGCTGCCTGAGCTCAAGGTCTGCCAACAGCACATGGATTTACCAGCAGGGAAAATCCTGGAGTAATAGGAGTTTTGTGAGCTTATCCACCTCATTAAAGGTCCCAAGATCCCAAAGTGGACAGGTCTGAGCTCAGGTCTGGCTGCTTAGTCACACCTGCTGAACAAAGGCTTTGAGCAGGAGCAGTCAATAAAGCCCAGCTCCAGATCAGGAGCTTATTTCCTGCTAAGTTGATGAGAGTCTGTTACAGCCAGGCAGTTTAGAGAAAGCTGCTCTTGAAAGAGCCAGAGGAAATCCCTCTCTTTCTGTGCAGCTGGAGATAAGGAAGTTAACAGCCCAGGCTGGTCCTTCCTGGCAGGATGAGACACAAATGTGGCAAAAAAACCCCAGGATGGCACCGCTGTGCTGCGTAACACAAAGCTCTGCCTCTGTCTGGGTCATCCCAAAGCTCTGAAACCCAGCAGAAATTCTCCCCAAAATGCTGCCTTGTTCCCCCAGCCAAGCAAGACACCCTAGACAGAAAGTTATGGAAAGAAAAAACAGAAAACCCAAACTTGGGAAGATGTTTCAATGTGTCTCAGTCCAGGCAAAGTCACATCATCACTCACCCAACCACTCCCTGTTTTTATCACTCCAAAACAACTGCACAAACCTGAACATTCCATAAATATTGGAATATATCACCCTAAATAATTGAAATTAATATGTTTGCAGGGCTGAGGTTTGGTTGGGGTTTCCCTCTGGGTCTGGTCAGGTTTTTGAGGAACCCCTGCCCATCCCACCTGAGAACTGGATGGCAAAGCCCTGCTTGCTGGTGAAGAAGTCGGTGTTGAACTGCAGGATGACGGAGTTGAAGGTGCTGTGGATGTCCCCAGGCAGCCCCGAGCCGCTCATCTCCTTCAGCAGGATCCCGTTCTCCACCGGCCCGTCCCAGATCCGCAGCACGTCGTGGAACTCCTCGGTGTGGAAAACCATGAAATGGAGCCTGAGGGGCAAAAAACACCCGAAATTCAGGCCTGGAGTGTGGTTTGTGCCAAATTCAGGCAGCCAGGCTCACACAGAATGTGTTGTTTCATCTGGAATTCAGGCCTGGAGTGAGGTTTGTTGTGGTATTTTTTGAGTCTTGAATTTGACTCCATGTTTTTAGAAGGCTAATTGATTATTTTATTATATTATACAAATTATACTAAATTTTATGTTACATCATTATTATATTATATTATATTACATTATATATTATATTATATTATATTATATTATATTATATTATATTTACATGATATTATTTATATATATTTACATATGTTGATATTATATATATATAATATAATTTATATTATATTACTTATAGATTATTATTATTATTATTATTACTACTAAATATTATGTTCTATATATTATATAAATTATACTAAACTACACTAAAGAATAGAGAAAGGATAAAGACAGAAGGCTAAAGGATAAAAATGAATCTCGTGACTCTTTCCAGAGTCTGACACAGCCTGACTGTGATTGGTTATTAAGTTAAAACAATTCACACAAAACCAATGAAACAATCACCTGTTGGATAAACAATCTCTAAATTACATTCCAAAGCAGCAAAACACAGGAGAAGCAAATCAGATAATTATTGTTTTCATTTTTCTCTGAGGCTTCTCAGCTTCCCAGGAGAAGAAATCCTGGTGAAGGGATTTTTCAGACATCCCCAAATCCCACCCTGTCCTTGGGGGTGTTGTCCAAACCCTCCTGGAGCTCTTGGGAATGTGAGCATTCCCTGGGGATGGAGCAGGAGTTGATCCCATCCACTCCTGCACTCCAATCCCACCTGGACAGGAGGAATTTCCCTGTCCCTGTTTGTCACTGCCCCATTTTCCCTCTGGCACAGCAAAATCAGGCCAAGCATGGGCAACTCAACCCCAGTGTGAAACGGGGACAGAAACCTAGAAACAGAAAAAAAAACTTCTGTAAAAAATAAACCCATCAGGTGCTGTGCTGAAATCCCTGCCAGCCCACAGAGGCAAACAGGGAAGCTTTCACTTGGCTGCTTTCCCATTTATCTGGGGCAAACATAAATAAATCAGGGGAGAGACATAAAAAAAAGGGGGAGGAAAAAAAAAAAAAAAAAGAAAAAAGCCCCACTGCAAAATCCTCAGGAACAAAATGATGCCCAGAGAAGCTGGGAGAAACCAAAAGAGCTGAATCATAAATCTCCCAAGCAGAGACCTTGAGCAAAGAGAAATAAAGCCAGGCCTGAGGAAAATCAGGATGGATGGTGCAGAGCTGTTCTCCACGGCTGCCTTGCTGTGATTAGGTTTGTTCCCAGCCTTAACTGGGCCCAGTGAGCCAGAACTGCTGGGAAAAACTAAAAACTCATCCCTGGAGACCTTGGGATCAGGGGGAGGCTGCCAGGGGTTGAGCTGGGCTGGGGGGACACCCTGGAACTGCCACCAGCAGCTCCAGGGCTGCCTAAACCACCCCATTTATCTGAGAAAAAACAAATTCAGGGGGAGAACACCTGGATGATCCAGGTGATCAGGCTGGAATCTGCTGGGGTATCAGATATGGAGTTCTCTGGAGCAAATCCAGCTATTCCACATTGACATCTCAGCTTTTCCCTCAGCCTGAGGTGTGAGACCAGGCACAGCCCCTGCTGCAGCAGACAATGGAGGGGAAAGGAGTTTTATTCATGAGGGGAAAGGAGTTTTATTCCTGAGGGGAAAAGAAATTGTATTCCTGAGGGGAAAGGAATTCTATTCCTGAGGGAAAGGAATTTTATTCTTGAGGGGAAAGGAGTTTGATTCATGAGGGGAAAGGAGAAGAAATTCCATTCCTGAGGGGAAAGGAATTCTATTCCTGAGGGGAAAGGAATTTTATTCCAGAGGGAAAGGAATTTTATTCCTGAGGGGAAAGGAATTCTATTCCTGAGGGGAAAGGAATTTTATTCCAGAGGGAAAGGAATTTTATTCCTGAGGGGAAAGGAATTCTATTCCTGAGGGGAAAGGAATTTTATTCCAGAGGGAAAGGAATTTTATTCCTGAGGGGAAAGGAATTTTATTCGTGCACTCTGACAATCCCAAATATTTCTCAATTATAGGCATGGAAATGCAGTAAAAAACAAACAAAAAATCCCACAAAAAAACCCAAACCAAACCAAACCAAACAAAAAGAACCTCAAACAAACAAACAAGCACCAAAAAAAAACCCCCCAAAAAACCCCAAAAAACCCCAAACCAACAAACAAAAAAACAAACAAAAAAAACCCAAACCAACAAACCAAAACAAAAGAAACCAAACAAAAAACCCCAAACATCAACACCCAAACCAAACCAAACCCAAAACAAAACCAATAACCAAATTAGAAACTGGGGAGATTATATTTATGTAAATATAAGTGTGAGAGTGGGGAAGCTCTGCCAGTTTAGCAAGGAGCAGAGAGGAGAGCCCAGCTCTACCCTGAGTGTGAACAACCCTTGGTCCCTGTGGGTCCCTTCCAGCTCTGGGTATTTTCTCTGCTGTTTTTAGATGAAACTCTGCAAAGTGGAACCTGTCAATACCCATGAAAATGGGAATTAACAACATCAGTGGAATTTCACAACACTGGGCTCAGGGGTTGACCACAACTCTGCCATGTCTCTGTGTCCTCTGCTCCCAGCTGGGTAAGGAATTTCCATCCATTTTCCACACAACCTCCTGCTTTTCCTCCACCTTCCTCCTCACCCCCAGCCCAACCAAGGCACTCCAAGCCCCCTCTGCAAGAGCAGCCCTTTCCCTTTCATGGCTCTGAGGTGCAGACTCATTTTTCTCGCTGTCTCACCCCCCCTGCCCTTCCCCTGGTGCTGCGCAGCTACAGCTTCATTCCAAAAGCTCTGGTGATTAATTTTCATGTAAGTTATAAATGAGAGCTTTATGCAATTGTATCATGCGTGAAGAGGATTATTTTTCCAATGGATTACCATAAAAATGAAGTTGCTGGGAATGTGCTCTCTCCACTCCCCTGAGATCAGCTGTGCTGCTGCTGGGGCTGGGAGATGAAAGGGGCAGGGAGAGGGAGCTCTGATCCCTGGGAAGGGCAGGGTCACCAGGTGTGTGCGGCTCTGACACCTTCCAGAACCTTCTCCTTTCACTGCTGGCCTCTTCCAAGCCTTTGGTTGATCCCAAACCTCTGCTCATGCTTTTAGGGATTACAAGAGCAAAGTTGCTGAAGCAGCCTTTGGATAGGGGGGAAAAAGGGACTTCTCTACTCTGTCCTATAAAAACCTTTTCCAGGAGAACAAAAATAGAGGAGATTTCGAGTGGAAGCTGCCTGTGCAGGGATTCAGCTGTTTTTGCTGTGCTTTTCCTCCTCTGCTCACACCCAAGCCCATCCATTATTGAGCCATTCTGAAGGGCAGCGCTAATGGAGGGAATTTCTGCATGAAATAAAAATGTGAAAACACCAGGCCAAACCTGCCTCCAGCAGAACTCCACGGGCTAAAAGCAGCACAGAGCTCACCCTGAGGGCCAGGCTGTGCTGGGATGGGTGCTGAGGCAGCAGGGAGGAGAAAATGGGATGGAGAGGGAAGGAATTCAGGATGGAACAGCAATGGGCTTGGGGTGAGCCAGGAATGGCTGAGAAGCACTGGGAACTCTGATGGGAGAGGATTACTACTACTATTATTATTATTATTATTATTATTATTATTATTATTACTACTACTACTACTACTATTATTTATCATTATCATCATTATTATTATTGTTGTTGTTATTCAGAACTTTTAAGGTGCATTTCTCCCCCTCAAATCCCACTCAGTCAAAGCTTGGCTTGCCCAAATATTCCAGTTTTTTTGTGGGTTTTGGCCAGCCTGGAATCCCTGGGAACACCCAGGGCAGCCCTGAAGGGTTTGGCAAACATCACTCAGGGGGTGGTGGGGCAGAAGTGAAGGATCAGGGAGAAGGAATTCCCTGGATTCTGGGACATTCCCTGTGATTTCCTACAACACCCCCATTCCAGGATTGTGTGGCCATTCAGCACTTTTGGGATGTTCCTCATTGATCTGGTGGAAAAAAGGGTTTGATTCTGGATGCATCCCATTAAGGAGAGGGGTGGGAAGCTGTCCATGGGCACCAAAGCTCATCTGGGATGTCTGAGCTCAGGAACACCATGGGCAGGACCAGGACATGGTCTGGTGTCACCACCCAGGGCTGAAAACAGAGGAGCAGTGATGCCTCTGGGGGCTCTGAGCAACCTGGGAAATAAACCCCATAAATCCTCAATCCCATCCTAAACCATTCCCTGATTCTGGAACCAACGCAGTGACTTCTCCCTGCTCGTCCCTCAGCTTCTCCCTCCTTTGCTTTATTTAATTTTTGATCTTTGTTTCTGCGAGAAATCCGTGGGGATTTTTTTGAAAAAACCAGCTCCAAGTGGGAAAGAAGCCAAACCACAGGAGCCCAGCTCACCCAATGGTGCACCCAGGCTCTGCCTCGATGGTCCAGATGCAGTTGAGGTTGTGGTCGTAGGGAGTTGGGTATCCTGGAGAAAGGATCCGTCCCGAGGTCTCTCCTCTGATTGTCCCTCCACACTCAGCTGGAACAAAAATATTTATGGGGTTAGGGAGGAGATTTGTGGCTTTCTGTGGCTCTTGCTTGGCAACAAGCTCACCCTGCAACAGAGATTATTCCTGGCTTTTTCCAGGGATTCTAAAAGCTTACAAAGATGAAGGGAATTGTTGAATTCAGCTGAGTTATCAGAGTTATTCTGAATTTCTGAACACCTGGCAAAGCTTCCCTGCACCTTTCTGAATCTCCAGGGAGCAAAAGCAGAGCCTGTCAGGATCCTGATTCCCTGCTCCACACGTGGGGGTGAAGGAGCTCTGCTCCTCTGCTTGGATTCATCAGAAAATGAAGGATAAGAAGCCAAAGAACTTGTAAATGTCGCTGTAAATGAACTGCAAAGAATGTGAGGATTTGGAGTAATTTCCATAACATATCCATTCAAATTCTGTAATTTTCATTTTTTTCCGTTTTCTTTCATTTCTTTTTAATTTCCACACGCTCAGACACGGCCTCATATCCAACACACGAAGAGCAAACAGGCTGAAGGTTAAGAAAACGCACAAATGGCGGAGATTTATCTTTTTACATCAATAAATGAGGCTGAAATCCCAGCCAAGGACTGGCCCTGCCTCCTGGGAGAGGGAACACGGAGTGCCAGGGGCTGAGCACATCCCTGGGTGTGCAGATCTCCCAGGGGACTCGGTGTCCAACAACTCCCCCATGTCCTGGGCATGGCAGGACGGGAATCAGCAATCAGCCCCATTCATTTAACACACAGAACCCCAAAGCGGAATTTGGAAGAGCTGCAGGTGAAAAGGGAACTCTGCAAAGGGAATTGAAATGTCTGGGGACGGGATCAGGTGTCAGGCAGCTCTGAAATAAAACTGGCTCTGAGCTGTCACACAGGACACACGTTGGTGTCACTATCAGGAGGTGGCACTCACTTCAACATGTCCAGAGTGAAAGGACAAGGCTGGAACAGCACAAGGAAGCAAAAATCCCTTGTCAAATGTGGGTTTAGGGCAGAGGGTTTCATGTTAGAGCTGCTTCAGGTGCTCTCTGTCTCATACAGGAGCCTCACCACGTTAATTAGTGGAGATGGGCAATTAACAGCAGAGTTAATGTCCATGGATCAGCAAAGGGTGGTCAGGGTGGGGAATCCAATTTCCTGGAGGTGCAGGAGGTGTCTCCATCTTGAGATGCCTCACAGAGGAGCCTCACCGCAACTTAATTAGTGCAGATGCAATTAACAGGAGAGTTAATGTCACATGGATGAGCAAAGCAGGGACAGAAGGTGGCCAGGGAGTGGGATCCAAGGAAATCACTTCCAGGAAGTTTTTCCATCTCAAGGACCCTCACCACAGACAACTTAATTAGTGCAGATGCAATTAACAGCAGAGTTAATGTCAATGGATCAGCAAAGCGTGGTCAGGGCATGGAATCCACAAGGAAATAATTTCATGGAATCCACAAGGAAAGAATTTCCTGGAGGTTTTGGAGGAGCAGGAGGTGTCTCCACCTTGAGATGCCTCACAGAGGATCCTCACCACAACTTAATTAGCGTAGATGGGAGTAATTAATAGCAGAGTTAATGTCAATGGATCAGCAAAGCTAGGACAAAAAAATGGTCAGGGTAGGACCATTTTTTGTAGGGTAGGGTGTGGGACCAAGGGTGTTCAGGGTGTGTGATCCAAATCTCGGTCTGGAGAGTGCTGGAGGAGCAGGAGGTGTCTCCATCTCGAGGACCCTCACCACACACAACTCAATTAGTGCAGATGCAATTAACAGCAGAGTTCATGTCAGTGGATCAGCAAAGCAGGGACCAAGGATGTTCAGGGTGTGGGATGCCAGGAAATCTCTCCTGGAGAAGGAGGAAGGAGAAGGGGAAGGAGGAGGAGGAGGAGGAGGAGGAGAAGGAGGAGAAAGAGGAGAAGGAGGAGAAAGAGGAGAAGGAGGAGAAGGAGGAGAAGGAGAAGGAGGAGGAGAAGAGAAGGAGGAGGAGGAGGAGGAGGAGAAAAAGGAGGAAAAGAAAGAGAAGGAGGAGGAGAAGGAGGAGGAGAATAAGGAGGAGAATGAGGAGGAGAATAAGGAGAAGAAGGAGAAGGAGAAGGAGGAGAAGGTGTCTCACCCACACAGGTCGGCAGGGGCCGGTCCCAGGCTCTCCTCTCCCCAGTCAGGCACACCAGCACCCTGGTGCCTCTCAGGGTGTAGCCAGGGTCACAGCTGAAGGACACTGAGCTGCCAGCAAAGTGTCCCTCGTCGTGCACCTTGTACCCAAACTGGGGCACGCCGGGGTCCTCGCACTTGATGAGCTCAAAACCTGCACAGGGAGCAAGGGCAGCTGTTGGCAGCAGGGATTTCACAGCCAGGAGGGTCTCACACAAAGCCACGGTGGGGTTTTCTTCTTACAATGATTTGTTGGGGAGCAAAGGGGCCATTCGGAAATCAGAAGGGTTTTAATTAATGTTGGAGTTTTGATCTGGATTTCGGGATCGCTACAGGCTTGACAGGAATAGTTTGATCAGATCCCAGGGAACAGGGACAGGGGAAGAGGAAACAGCCTTGACCCGTGCCAGGGGAGGTCAGGTTGGACACCAGCAGGAATTTCTGCATGGAAAGGGTTGGAAGGGGCTGCCCAGGGAGGTTTGGAGTGCCCATCCCTGGAGGTGTCCAAGGAACAGCTGCATGTGGCACTCAGTGACAAGCTGGGGATCAGGCACAGCTTGGACTGGGTGGGCTTGGAGGGCTTTCCCACCCTCAATAATCCTGGGATGCTGTGCTCTCCCACACTCCAACTCCACTTTGGGTACAAGATCACCCCAGAAAGGACTCTTTGCTCATGTGCAACACAAAACCACAAAAATACACCTTGACCTGTGGGATTGGAACTCACTGGAGAACTGCAGCTCGAAGCCCTTGCTGGTGTTGGCAGGGTCAGTGATGAACTCCAGCCACATGGAGCTGGAGGTGCTGTTGATGCTGGTGCCCAGCAGCTCCGAGCGGCTGAAGGTGCCCAGCAGCCGGGCAGAGCTGTTGGTGCCATCGTAGACCTAGGAGGGACAACAAATCCAGCCTGGAAAAGCCATTCCTGGGATCAAACCATCACTGCCCAGAGGGGCTCTGGCTGCTCCTGGATCCCTGGAAGTCTCCAAGGCCAGGCTGGATGGGGCTTGGAACAACCTGGGACAGTGGAAGGTGTCCCTGCCCGTGGATGATCCTTAAGGTCCCTTCCCACCCAAACCATTCCAGGATTTCCTTAAGGTCCCTTCCCACCCAAACAATTCCAGGATTTCCTTAAGGTCCCTTCCCACCCAAACCATTCCAGGATTTCCTTAAGGTCCCTTCCCACCCAAACAATTCCAGGATTTCCTTAAGGTCCCTTCCCACCCAAACCATTCCAGGATTTCCTTAAGGTCCCTTCCCACCCAAACCATTCCAGGATCTCCTTAAGGTCCCTTCCCACACAAACCATTCCAGGATCTCCTTAAGGTCCCTTCCCACCCAAACCATTCCAGGATCTCCTTAAGGTCCCTTCCCACACAAACCATTCCAGGATCTCCTTAAGGTCCCTTCCCACCCAAACCATTCCAGGATTTCCTTAAGGTCCCGTCCCACCCAAACCATTCCAGGATCTCCTTAAGGTCCCTTCCCACCCAAACCATTCCAGGATTTCCTTAAGGTCCCGTCCCACCCAAACCATTCCAGGATTTCCTTAAGGTCCCTTCCCACCCAAACCATTCCAGGATCTCCTTAAGGTCCCGTCCCACCCAAACCATTCCAGGATTTCTCTGCAGTTTCACTGAGCTCCAGAATAGAGAAATGATGAGGAATTCATCCCACCTAGTCCCTGATCTGCTCACAGCAACACCCTGGGTTTGTCCTTTGGGGTTTTTTTTTGGGAAGAACCAGCAGCTCCTGATAAATGCCCTCATTTGGGGTCACCTCAAATTAAGGAATTTGCTCCTGGCACTGAGCTGATCCTGAGTATTGGAGGGAAAAGGGAAGGAAAGAACCAACCCACTCTGAATTCCAGCTTCAGGCTGGAAAAGCAACTCCAACCCTCCAGGATTTGTCCTACAGGTGATCCAGGAGTGGTTCCTGGATCCACAAGTGCAAACAGGGACAAATCCTTCAGGCAATGTGAGCTGAGATCCAGGGATATCAAACTAAAAGTCTGATTTGATGGAACTCCACAGTGCTGCCCACCTGAGGAGCAGCATTTCCACCCTGGAGGATCTGCACCCTCCTCCTCAGCCCTAATTTACTCTGCACACTGGGCTGCATCTCCTCAACTCTCTTTCCCAAGGAGCAGCTGCTAAAAAATCCACATTTTTCCCCCAGACTGACTCAGAGATGAGCCTTGATTTAAGAAAAACACAAATGGGGGTTTTTTCTTCCTTTTGTGAGGACCAAGAGCAGCTCCTCACCAGTGGAGATCGATAGGAACTTTCCTCAGATGAGCAGCTGATGACAAACCTGCTGAGAAAATGTAATTCCTCTGACAAGGAGTACATTCCTTGCATTAACAGGAAATCTTTCTCCCTTTCCAGTCATTTGTGAGCTGGAAACGTGGATTACGCCTCTCCTGGAGTGTGACACTTCAATGAGGACAGAGGATTCTTGGGAAGATGGCTCAGCACATCCTTGCAATATTAATGCCTCCTTCAAAACCATTCCTTTGGTTAATATAAAAAAAAACTCAGCCTGGATTTGTCTCCTTCTCCACAGAGTCCTGGAGCTTGAATAATCTCAGAAGAGTCTGGAGTTCTGCATTTCAATCAGCCCCTTTTTTGGGGACAAACCAGCCTTGATTCTTCAAAGCACTGAAATAATGCTGAAACCCTAACTATTCTGATGGAGGAGGAGTTTTTCTTGTGCAATTCCAGAGGTGAGAGCTGAATTTTAGCTGGTATAGGGGAAATTTGGGCTTCCAAACTGCCATGGGAATCACTGGGATGACACAGAGGTCGCTTCCACCTAATCCCACCAAAATTTTAGAACCTTTCTGGTGGATGAGGAGTTTTCCCTGTGCAATTCCAGAGGTGAGAGCTGAGGTTTAGCTGGTCTGGGGGAAACCTGGCATTCCAAACTGCCATGGGAATCACTGGCATGACACAGAGGTCGCTTCCACCAAATCCCACCAAAATTTTAGAGCCTTTCTGATGGATGAGGAGTTTTTACTGCGCAATTCCACAGGTGAGAGCTGAGGTTTAGCTGGTCTGGGGGAAATCTGAGCTTCCAAACTGCCATGGAATCAGTCCATGGCATTGGGATGACACAGGTCACTCCCACCTAATCCCATGAGAATTTTAGAGCCTTTCTGGTGGATGAGGAGTTTTCCCTGTGCAATTCCACAGGTGAGAGCTGAAGTTTAGCTGGTCTAGGAGAAATCTGACCTTGCAAACTGCCATGGCAATCACTCCATGGCACTGGGATGACACAGAGATCATTCCCACCTAATCCCACCAAAATTTTAGAGCCTTTCTGATGGAGGAGGAGCTTTCCCTGTGCAGTTCCAGAGGTGAGAGCGGAGGTTTAGCTGGTCTGGGAGAAATCTGCCATGGCAATCCCTCCATGGCACTGGGATGACAAAGAGGTCACCTAATCCCACCAGAATTTTAGAGCATTTAGAGGTGTTGCTCTCCACTGCCCGAGCCAGAATTACCTTGAGGACATCTCCTGCCTCCAGCTCGAAGGTCCTGGCTTTCAGCTGGATGCCCTTGCCAGGCTGGCTCTGGATGGAGTAGATGCACTCGTGGTTGTTGTTGTAGTTCAGGGGGTAGTTGGGCGACAGCAGCACACCCTGGGTGCCCGTCACCGAGGAGCCACACTCAGCTGCAGCGAGACACAAAGGCACATTTCAGTGACCCCACGCGTCTGCTGGCCACAGCACACATGCAGGAGGCGCCTCTGAAGGCCACAGCCGCTCAGCCCCTCCTGCAGCAGCAAGGAGAGGGCTTTTCCCTGTTGGTATTCACTACAACCTGTTGTTATTTACCACAACCATATCTCTACAACCTGCTGGTGTTCACTACAACCTGTTAGTATTCACTACAACCTGTTGGTATTCAGTACAACCTCTTGTTACTCACCAGAACCTGTTGGTATTCACTACAACCTCTTGTAACTCACTACAACCTGCTGATATTCACTACAACCTCTTGTTACTCACTACAACCTGCTGGTATTCACTACAACATGCTGGTATTCCCTACAACCTGTTGTTATTCACTACAACCTCCTGTTACTCACTACAACCTGTTTTTATTCGCTACAATCTGTTAGTATTCACTATAACCTCTTGTTACCCACTACAACCTGTTGGTATTCACTACAACCTGTTGGCATTTACTACAACCTCTTGTTACTCACTACAACCTGCTGGCATTTACTACAACCTCTTGTTACTCGCTATGACCTGTTGTTATTCACTACAACCTGTTGTTGGTCACTACAACCTGCACACTGTCGCCTTTCCCATCAAATTTTCCTAGCCAGGCTTCTCTCCTCTTTCAGAATCTGTGTAAATGTAAATCTGGGGGGAATTTGGGGAGGAATCTGTGTAAATTTAAATCTCTGTGAATCTCTGTGAAATGTGAGTGGATCTGTGAGAAATCTGTGGGAAGTTGGGGGATCTGTGTGAATCTGTGGAGAATCTGTAGGAATTTGGGTGAATCTGTATAAACGTAAATCTGTGTGAAGCTCTGTGAAATCTGTGTGGATCTTTGGGAATTTGGGGGGAATTTGGGGGAATCTGTGGGGGATCTGTGGGGAATCTGTGTAAATGTAAATGTGTGTGAATCTCTGTGAAATCTGTGTGGATCTGTGGGAAATCTGGAGGAATCTGGGTGAATCTGTAGGGGATCTGTGTAAATGTGTGTGAAGCTCTGTGAAATTTATGTGGATCCGTGAGAAGTCTGTGGGAATCCGGGCGAGATCTGTGAGTAATCTGTGCAAATATAAATCTGTGTGAATCTCTGTGACATCTGCATGGATCTGCAGAAAATCTGTGGGAAATGGATATAAATCCGTACGAATCTGTATGAATTTGTGTAGATCTGCTCAGAACAACCCCACGCTGAGGAT